GAAAATTTGGGACAGGAAAGGTTTTAGTCTCCCTGTATGTCTGTCAGGCTGCTGATGTTTTCATCTGTTTGTCATAAATTCCCCATGGAAAACTAGGAGTGGAACCTAAGCCTGTCTACCTTGCTCATCTCCTGAATAGCCAATAGTATCAGTCATAAGCATAGAGAGAAGGATTGACCAAAACAGTATCTAAGAGAGAAGGAACACCTTTTTGAGGTTTTTCTCCATTTGCCAATTTCTCATGTCACCTTCTCATCCTGCCAGGCCAGAAATGTGTGGGTTCCGAGGAAAAGAGACCCCCAAAATTGTTGCCTCATTCCTAGATACTTCATGTATCTGCTGTGCACTTCAGTAATATTCCAGAACAGAAACTGGACTGTTGAAAGCATCCTCTTGAAGGCAGCAGGACATGTCAGACTGAAATACAGCACTAAAGGTATGGCAGGGAAGAAAGGAGGATCAGGGCTGTTAATTTGAGTCTCTTCAGCAATGAAATGCTGGCTCTTTTATTTTTGTCCACAATATGAAAATGCTATCAACAGGCACAGACAGATTCTGTACCTCATCAGTACGCTGATGCCTTGGACATCCTGTGGATATTCTGGTTCTCATGCATGAAAGGTAAGGAAATGCATGCCAGATGACAGAAATTATTCTTGTGTAAAATACCTCTACCTGATGTTTCCAAATACTATAAGCAAAATTATCATTACTCACCCTGCCAAAACAATAGGCTGACGTAAAATTTGAGTACTTGGATGCACTGTTCCTCACAGTTAAGCAGCTTGTGGGAGAAAGTAATTGCTTGGAATAATTTCAGACACTGTAATTTAAAGATCAGATTCAAAATATCTAAAGCGCTTTACAGTCACACCTAAATCTTCCCATCATCAACTCCAGTAACAAAATTGGATACATGTAACCTTCTGCAACATCGTGATTTTCTGAAGATGGAATTTTCCCACTTGAAAGAGGCTATCTTCATGGCAGAGAACCACTTAAATATCTTATGCTGACTTTAATTTCAGCAGCAATTGAAATGCTACATCTCAGAGTAGTTAAAAGCTCCAGTATGTATATTACACAAAAGCTTCTCAAAGTACTGTGAGTTTTCCAGAACAGTACTTTGCCAGTTCACTGGCACTTTTTATTACATCTCACAGAATGCAAGATTTGCTGTTGTTAGAAAATAAAATGAAAAACACTTTTCTAAGACCATTCAGCAAAACTCTTCCTCCCAATCAGGGACACAAAAACCCTCAAGATCCTCTCTCTAGCTACAATACAGACTGCTTAAGCAAAGCAATCACACTCATGTCCATGACTGACAATAACAAGATATCAGGGCACAACCTCCCCATTAAGAAAAGATAAATGAGGGAGCTCATTTATCAATTGCACCAAAACCTTTCTGGAGGTGCATCCATGGAAAACTGAAAGGGAATGTTGTGCTGCATTGGCTAAAAGCAGAACTCAAGACAGTGTAAGACTTGTATAAGAAATGCTAATCATATTCTTGTTTATTATTCTTAAAAGCATTTAACTAAATATTAATGATGTTTCTCATAATCTTCCCCCACTTCCCCAAAGAGGCATAAAAATGTGCCATTTCCATAATGTACTGCTATATTCAAAGCAAATAATTATTAATTTGCTTAAAAAGAAATTCTGCCAAAAATAAGGCACTCATCTAGGCAGTAAGATTGGCTTAAATTATGCTAATCTAAATATATATTTGCACAAGCCTAAGCAACATTTATTTGAATGCTATGAAATATTGTACATCTTAAGTAAATATATTTATGTGGCTTTCTCAAAACAAATATCTAATACTGTTGGAGAAAAGGTACACTTGAAAATGCAGACATTTACATGTAAATAATATTAAGATTATGAAAACAGCAAATGAGATTTAATATAAATTCCCCACGCTCCTTTTTGTTTGCTCATTTCACCAAAGCATGCACTGAAAGGCAGAATCTGTCATCAACTCCATATCAGGCCTTCTGGATACTGTTAATTGATACAACACAATCAAACCTGCAGCAATCAATAGTATTTTGGAATCCAAAAAGCTTTTTAGTGTATTTATAGTAACACAAAAACTCTGGAGGCTGGCAAAAGCTTTCACTGCACAAATAGCACACTGTGGTCAGGGAAATTACAGAAACCACCACTTCCCAAGCTGATCTGGTATTGAAGAGAAGCTGGATAAAACACAAGCAAAAAGAAAAATATATTTTATATTTACCAATAACCTGGAGAGGAGGTAAATGATGAATACTGAAGGTAATCACTTTTAAGTCAGAAGAAATGGATCTGTGCTGTTGAGTATCATTACTACTGGTTCGTTATTTTTTTTCATTGCATTTTATTTACATGTCTCCACATTTTAATCAAAGAGAGTGGCAAGAATAATAACAAAAATAGCCATTTTTTGTAATAAGATAGTAAATTATGCACTAAAAAGTATAGATTTCACTTATTCAGGATATATGCTTTCCAGTATGTTGTTTTCACAAGAAACAGATAAGCAGAAATATTGTATTTGTAGGGTGCCCCATGGCAGGAAGGAATGATGCATCTGCTTCCATGTTCTTAGAAAGCTAATTTATTATTTTAAGACACTATATTATATTAAAGAATACTATACTAAATATACTAAAGAATAAAGAATACTTACAGAAGGCTAACAAGACAATAATGACTCTTTCCAGAGCCCCGACACAGCTTGGCCACGATTGGCCAATGAGTGAAAACACTCACACCAGAATCCAATGAAACAATCACCTGTGGCGAACAATCTCCAAACACATTCCAAAGCAGCAAAACACAGGAGAAGCAAATTAGATAATATTGTTTTGCTTTTTCTCTGAAACTTCTCAGCTTCCCAGGAGCAAAATCCTGGGCAAAGGGATTTTTCCAGAAAATACGACTTCCACACAGAAATATCTCCTAAAGCAGTGACTTGCAGTTCTCAATACTACTTTTTCAAGTTAGATGTTATTTTGTGCAAATTGCTTTAACACAGTTGACTGTTTGATACACACTAATTGGTGTAGCTAATAACTGGTTTTACACACTCTTTACTTTGAGGAGAACATCTATACTAAATAGAAGAAAAATTTTACAGAATTCCAAGCATGTCTCCTTACAGAGACATAAGGAGGGGTTTAATCATAATAATTACCTTGAACTTACTGCTACAGCCTTCTCTGCTGGAGAAATGTGCAGGTTGCAGCAAGATGGGGGTCAGTGTCTGCTCACAGATGAGAAGTGATAGGACAAGAGGAAACAGCTTCAAGTGATGCCAGGGAAAGTTTTGGTTGGATGTTGGGGAAAACTACTTCACTGAAAGCATTGCCGAGCAGTGCAACAGGCTGCCCAGGAAGCAGTTCAGTCACCACCATCCCTGGAGGGATTTAACACTTGGGGCATGCTGGGTTTAGGGCTTAGCAGCGCTGAGTTGAGGGCTGGACTTCATCTTTTCAACTGAAAACACTCAGTAATCATCTTTACATCCAAGGCAAACTGATTCATCACTCAGAGCTCTCATGGAGAGCCCAGTCTAAGGGCCAGCATTGGTGGAGGGGGAGGCCTTTGTCCACATTCTCATGCAGCAACTACTAAACCATCCATGCACAACTCCACCTTCAAAGTTGCAGTGGAAAGTCAGCATTTTTGGCTCTGCCTACTAATGCAGATATCACCTTTTCTTCCAGCTGCAATATTTTCTCCTATGGTGTCACCTTGGTCCCCCGAAGAGACTGTGTTGCCATGAATATTGCTTGTCTGTGGTGTAATAGCTGCATGCTGAGCAGAAGAGCAAGCAATCCTCTCTTCTGTGTATTCTCAGTAAGCACCTCTTGTCAAAGGATGTCATGATTCCTATCATGGTGTTATTAAATGTACAGTAGGTGTTTTCACTGCAGTACACAAGCAGCGTTTGCAGTGACAGAAAAACACGATTACAGGGAAGATGATGGATAATGAATCAAGTTTTTCTCCCTTTATTTGGAATACTATTTCTATGAGCTTGTCTGAAAGGCAATTCCTCTCCTTTCTACCTCAACCTTTTCTGTGAAGCATGAAAGCAGACACCTCTTTTGTGAACATTTTTGTGAACAATTTCTCCTTTTGTGAACATTTCTCCTGAACAGTCTATTTGAGAGCCCAACGTCTGACAGATATCTACCCTCAATAACCTTATTCAATTACAGAACAAATAAGCTAATGGTTTACAGAAGTTATATCTCACAAAGAGATATCAGGAATGCATGCATGCATTTTCTTTTAGTGTAAACATTATATTCTTCTGGATTCTCCTCTTATTTGGACAAAGTAAAACTGTTTGCAGTTAGAGTTGAAAAATCTTTCTGTTTGGTAAAGAAAAAAATAAAATCAGAAATTTACAGTCACTTTTCAGGATGAAAAATAAAGATTATTTGAGAAAAGTTAGTCTTACCCAAAAATTTCCATCCTTTTTTTTGGTTGGTTTTTTTGGGTTTTTTTTTTCACACATCTTCATTCCTGCTCTTAGTTTGCACCGAGGTGTAATGAAGTGGCTGGATACACCAGGCCTAAAAGTCACCTCTGGCACTGCAGAGTGCACAGAAAAAGCCTCTCCTGCACCTCTGTGACACACCTTTTGCTTCCTACTCTGCAGGGACAGTGGCTTTCTAAGGTGCAATGCAAAAAGCCAAAATAAAACATGCTGCATCTCTGCCTTCACCAAATTTGTTTCATTCTTTTCTTGTCCTTTTTTGGTAAATCAAGATCAGTAAGAAAAATGGTAAATGGAGTTTTTGTAAGAGATGGTATTAATATACCTTTATCCAATGAATAGGGACCACTATTCATTGCACTGATGCTATAAACATGACATCCATATCTTACATTTTTTTAAGTCTGTACCCTCTCATTTAATATTACCTTAAGTTCACAGAAAGTTTTTCAATTCAGAGAGATAAAGAATATTTCATTTATATTCCTTCACATACCATCAAGCCCATTATGATGGCTGTAGTTTCTTTTCCCCAAAATACTTAATGAAGAGTGGTTGGAGGGTGCAAGCAGTCGTTTTGCACTTGGACTTTGAAGGCTTGGTGTTGACCTGATTACACTGGGTTTCACAGCAGGATGTATCTCTGTTTGAGACAAAAGAGAGAGAGAAATGATACCTACTTGATTTTAAGATAAATAAAACAATCTATACCACATATGAAATTTACTTTTGTTTTTCAGAAAAAAAAAATTCCTTCTGCACTTGTGTGTTTACAAGACCTTGAACAACACGAGTCCTCCTACCCACAGGTCCTCCAAGTAAGAAAGATCTATTGCACTTTAGGTTACCCAAGCTCAATTCCACAGTGCAGATATGTAAGGATTTGAGGTTAAGAGCTAATAAATACAAAACAGTCTGAAATGGGTGCGTTTATATTTTCATACCCTTTTGAGATTTATATTGAAGCTACACACCCACAGGTTTCTGCAAGCAAATAAAAGCATTTTACTGTAGTGAAACTACCTCAATTCCTCAAGCTATTTAGTATTTCAGTATTTTCTGTCACAGTAACAGGCTTTAGAGGATCTTCCCACACACAAGTCACAAGGTGCAGGAGTCAGGAGGCCAGACACTGTAGGGCTCTGCAGCTAAAACTGCCCCAAAACTGCAGTGGGAACACTTCCATACTTCCCCTTACTGGGGAGCTTCAAACATCCCAGAGTATCTGCTTCATGGAGCAAGATTATTTTGGAGAAAAAGGAATAAAGAGGGTATGGGGCAGCAAAGCACATCTGGCCAGCACATTTCAGGGTGGCACCTGCTGTGTTTGCCAGGAGCTGACACAGCTGCAGGGAAATTTCTGTATATTCTGCCAGATAAAAGTGGCAAAAGGAAGCCTCGGATGAGTCTGCTGGTCCCTCACCAGGAATTTGCTGAACCAATTAATTAATTCCCATCACACATTTGGGTTCAAAATGCCACCACCCTGTCCAGCCTTGGGTGGAGCCAGGCTTGTGTGGGAAGTCAGCTGCCCAGGGGCAGGTCCTGTCCCTGTGTCACAGTGCAGGGCACCAGCTGCCAGCACTGTGCAGGGTATGAGGCACCTGCAGCCCAATTACAGCAGCCTCTGATGGCCCCAGGCAGCAGAAGAGGCTGAGAAGGTGAGGGCAGAGGACGTGGGAGTCAGATCAGCAGAGTCAGCTGCCCAAGGCAGGTGAGATCAGAACACAAACATTGAGTACTTTCCCATTTGCAGCCCAGGTTTACACCTCCTGAAAAGTGCTTCTTTCTGCTTATAAAGTGCTTTTTTTCTGTTTATAAAATGGAACACAGAAACTGGGAAGATGCAAAATCTACAGTGAGGCCAAGTATCCAAGGAGGAGCCTCTCCAGCCTCTGCCATGCATGGCCATCATTCAGGAGAAAGAGAAAGCACTGCATAAAGTCAAAGCCCACTGCCAATAGCATGTTTCTCCTCCTTCAGAAATGCCCAAAGTCTGATACCCAAGTGCTCACCTGCCCTGCCTGGAGCTCTTGGTCTCATGGCCTTGGCCATGCTGTACTGGAACAGCGTGCCAAGAGACAACCCCAACAATTTTCACACTGGAAAAGACTTTGCTTAATTGTTCACCACTGCTTTGGTTGGGGCTTCAATCACACTCTCCAAGTATGAACACACTCCCACGAGAAGCCTCAAGAGGGCCAGGTAAGAAACAGTAGGGCAGAGAAATACACAGAGAACAGCAAAGAAGGAAGGCACAGGTAACCAGTCACTTCAGGGCAGAGCTGTAGATTTGATGGCACCAAATTCCCCACCACTTAATTAGATAAGAGCTTTTTACAGCCATTCACTACAGAATTCATCTGCTTTTCACACAGAAAAGATTTCATGGCATGTCCTGTTTTTCTTGCTGTGGGGAACAAGCATCTCATACTTTGCTTTTTTTACTAAAATGGGAACAGAGGCATGCTTAATGTTATGAACACCACTGATTGCTAAGGCAAAACTCTAAACCAAAATAGATCCCTTGTGCTGTTTGCTGAAGGTAATTGGAATTTACATTCTAAAATGTTCATTTAGCAATCTTTTCCAGTTTTCTGAAGGAAATGGTAGATTCCAGGGCTAACACTTTGGCAAATAAAATCTTATTTTATTTGCCAAAGAGCTCCAGCAGCAACCACAGTAATCCCAGCAGTTGCATTGACATATGAGAACTCCACCTCCATTCATCTGCAACCTATAGGAGAGACAATTTCATATTTTCAGGGTGAGCAAACAGTTGAGGAAGGAAGCATTTCCTTCTTTCAACTTCTCTTCAGTTCAGAAGTCACTAATCCTCCATTAGCTTACCATGAAGGCTGTCTTTTCTCTGTCTGCAGTAGAGGAAGGTAGCAAGACCAAGCTCTACATTTAAGTTCTAGAAAGAAACTCAGTTAAACAGCCAGGATCACTTCCCAATGGACTGAGTCCTTCCTGTGCAGACCTTTACATCTTAGTTCACTCCTCCTCTACATACAGACTTGCTTCAAATATTTTCATGCTTTATAACCAGCACTTTATAACTAGCTGCCTCATCATACCCAAGCAGAGTAATGAGGCATTTCAGGGGTTTTGCATATTATCCCTTCATATAATTGTATTATGGAATAATAGTAATCAAAATCTTTTAATTTCTGCTGCTCTTATGCTTGTTCTATTGCATAGCACTTCACTGAAAATCTTTTAGCCAGCTGCACCTTGTTCTAACTCAGAGAACTGACTATAGCATTCAAATTATCTCATGACCAGTAGCAAATAGCCAGCCAGCCACATTCTGAAATAAAAATAAATAGGAGTAAGAGATAATGTTTCAAAAACATAGTCGGAACCCATAGTAGGTTCCCGTTTTATAGGACCAGATTTCAGCCTAAAACAAGTAAATAACAATAACAACATTAAAAATTTCTCCCTTTTCCACTATGTAAGTAGGGTAAAAAAATAAAAAAACCCAAAGTAAACAAAGAGAAGCTGAAGTCTTCTACCAAATCACCTCAACAAACATCCTGGATTCCAGAGGGGCTTAGGCAGCTGCACCTTTCCCTCACCTCATCTCCTCAACATGCATCCCACTGGAGTGTTAGCCTGGTTTCCTCATAACTAAGAGATAATATAAGACATTTAATTAGCCAGGGGTTCACTACAGCAGCTTTGTTTTAGGAAGCACAATGATGACTGATGAGATTGAGGGGATTAGCCCCAGCTCTTGAGAGTATAAGGCCTAATTTTAGTGTTTGTCCTACCTCATCTGTGGAACCTGCAGCCAAGATGCAGAACCAGGGTAAAGGGAAGTGATGACCCAGGATGTGCAGGGCACTGAAATCCTCCTTGCCTTAGGAGAAAGGTTGAAAGCAGTAGTGCCCTGACTCATTGTTAATTGTATGCCAATAAATTCCTGTGAGAATGGCACAGCATGAATCTTAAAAAGAAAACAAGTGCCTCCTATACAAGTTATGACATGACATATAATAATAATTTTTATGAGAAAAAGAATGCAAGATTTACTTATTTACTGAAACTGCAAAAATCCCAAATAAACTAAAAAGATCACAAACAAACTAAACTAAAAAAATTTAACCAAGCTACATAGCAAACAAAAAACCATTTTCTAGCCATCCCTATAAAGCTAATTCAGATGAATGTAACCAACTGCACTGGGTTCATTTCATATTCCCATAACACACATTATTTTCCTCAGCCGTACTAAGACACTGTTACTTCCCATACAGTCACATTCTAAGCAGACTCTACAGATATCTGGCATATTTTAGCACTGTTAATCTTCTACCAGACCTTCATGTATGTTCACAAAATGCTGCCTGACACTATTCATCCATTTACTCACATTGAACCTACAGACAGACTCCCAGAGGGGTCGAGACAACTCCTCAAAGGCAATATAACACAACACTAAAAACATGTGATGCCTCCTAAGTTTCCCCACATTACCATTTCCTCTTTAGATGCACAGACAGGTCAGCTGGAAGAACCATCCCCTGTCCAGCTTCCCCCCTCACAACCACAACTCCACCAAGTCAACCAAAGTAGTCCCTTCAACACACACAATACACACAGCTGGAATGTCTGTAGGGAATTATCCCTGGCTTTTTTCTTAAACTCCAGGGCAGGAGGAATCAAAATTCAGTGAGAATGGCATTAATTCCTCATTAACCACATTCTTGAAGTTAGTATTTTAACAAAATTGATGTCCTGGAAGAACAGTTGTAACTACATTAATAGCTGATTTCTATTTCAGTAAGGCAAGAGACTGTTTACTTTGATCTAGTACAAAAAAAACTTCCTGGTGACTGAAATAATGAACAAAACATCTAGACTAAGCTCTACACTCAGCTGTAGAGTTCACTTCTGTAGAACAGGATTAATACACAGCAGAATTACTCGCTGCATCTCTGATCAACTGATTGATTTCTATCCTCATTTCAGGATTAACAGGCTCTGGGTTACCACAATTCTTATATGACTGTGCAAATATTTAACAGTCACTGATAGCTCATTGCAAGGAATCACTATTACCAGAATTTTTCCTCTCCCCATGTACTTTTGGGTTCACATCCTCTTGGTTCTGAGCTCAGTACACATTTCACTGCACCTTTTAGACTTAGGCCATCAAATTACAAGGTATGCATCTTAGCGTGGCTGAGCTCCCCTGCTCTTAAGTAAAAAGTAGTATTGCAAATGGATACAAAGGCCACAGCAGAGCAGCCCTGAGCATACTGAGAATTTCCCCTTTGAACAGTTCTTCTTTTTATTTAGAGAGCCAGACTGTTTTTCACATTCTAAATTACGTCAGGTTTCACTCTGACATTTTAAACCAGTATCAGGAGGACTTCTGCCTGTATCCTGCAAGTTCTACCATGCAGTTTTGCACAGTGGACCACCATTATTATTAATTTATTAACTTCCGAATTTTTTTACGTTACTAAAAGCATAAATCTCTCTTTCTGTGCATCCCAGGTTATGAAGCTTCAGTACACACTGAAAGTTTGTTTGGTTTGTTATTCTCTGGAGGCAGATACGCACCTAAATACCCAATGATACATGACAGTGGTTTCCTGGTGCTTTTTATCTTCAGAGGATTCCCAGCAAGTTCACAATGTCGATCTGCATCTGAGAATTTTAAAGAATAAAACTGAGTTTAAATATTTTACTATTAGAAACAGATTCAGGACATACCAACCAGTCTCTGACTTGCATTTTAACACAAATTTCTTTTTTTCTTTTAGCCCACCTTTTAGATTCTCCTTTTTATCATCAATATTCTAATTGTAAATATTTAAGGGCAGGACATGTCCTCGTTCATGTAAGTGGTGTTATGATTTTTTTTTTTTTTTTTAAGTTAATGTATGTTTTAACATCAGTTAGATTGTAGTTTTTGCTTACAAAGTCTTTCCAGAGATAGACAGTCAGGCAAATGGAACATGGATGAAAACATGATTACTAAAAAATGCAGTTTTGGCTATTAAAAATTATTTTCATTGAATTCTTTTTTGTTTTCTACACACTTCTCTGTCTCTAAATGGGACAATACAGAGTCAAGGATTTAAAGCTGGGCATACTGATTTTTGCCATACAACTCTTCACTGTAAACTTTGCAACAAAATGCTCAGTTGCAACCAAGTATTACAGAGCTCAAAGGTCTCAAAGATTGTAACTTTCTGCTAAGTACATGAAAACCAGCAGTGCAGCATCTGCCTTAAATTTCTGCTGCTACTGTGAATACACAAGCAGTGATTCCATCCACATGTCCCGAACACAAAGCATTAACATAAAGAAGTTCATGCTTAGACAATGAAGTCAGTCAACTTAAGGCAAAAATTCACAAGGCACCAGGTTTCAGTAAATAATTTCAAGACAACTGAAAATAGACCTTTTTTTTTTTTAAGTATTCAGAATGATTGGGTTTCCTGTCTTCCAAGAGCACATAAAAACCCCCATAGAGAGCTTCCAGTATCCCTAGAATACAGGTATTCTGGTCTGGACAAAACTGCATTCATACAGTGATTATATAGGTCAGGAAGTCTCTCAAATGGAAGAACTTCCAAAAAATACCTACCTACAAGTTTTACAAGAGGGACACATTATAAATAGATTATAATTGCAACTCCTCCCTGTGTTTCACCAAACTCTTCCTGTTTGCTTCATTCCAGCACATGAGATACAGTAAACAGGAAGAGTATAAGACACCATGTAAAGAATTTACAATCCTTTTTATCAATTCTAATCTAGATCTGTGCAAAAATCACGAAGATGGTGAATGCACAGCAATGACTGGAATAAGTATTTCAGATGTTCAAGAAGATGTTTTCAGTGCAGCAGACAAAGCACAACTTACTTTCATAGATTAAGGAACCTACCAAAAATTGTGGAAATACCAATGGGTTTCAACGGTTCCAGAGTCCTAATGCTGAGTACATTAAGTACTTTGTTACTTAATCCCAAAACATACTGTGCTCAGGAAAAAAAAATCAAAAGGCCTGGTGCCTGGAATATTTTTAATATTGTAAAACACCTGAAATTATTTAAGTGGAGGAGCAGAATGATGTGTCTCCACTGACTCCCTCAGTAAAATAAGCAGAGGCTATATGGTATTTTATAGCTACTTTGAGAAGAGCAAAGCATCACCTAAGAAGTAATTAGCAAGAAAATTTTCCATCTATGTGCCTTCACTATAAAAAAACATATTGAATCATGTTGTAGTATTTATATGCTGACTGGGAATACATACTGCAAGGAGAGCACAATTTTCATGCTTGATATAAAGCATGTTCATCAAAGGTGAGTATTCCAAAGCACACCTATCTATTGAGACAGTAAAGTAAGCTTAACAGCAGCAAACTTTGATCCACAATAAAGTGCTCCCATAAAAAGTATAATGAAGTTTATGATCTTTACGCAGAACACAGAGAAGAACATAGAAGTTGTATTGTGCATCATTCTCAAGTGTAAAACCAGAGAATAAAATCTGGGTAGGAAGTTATCAAAACTCCCAAAATTTAAAGCAAGTCCTAAAATCAAATGTGACCTTTTATATGAGCAATAAAAAACTTAGTAAGACCAGTGACATAGTGGAAGCTATGAGGAAAAAAAAAACATTTATAACAAGAAAGAATCTGATATTTTTTAGTATATTTTTCACACATAGCAACAGCAGAAAGTGTGCTGGTGTCTGTAGCAATAGATTATGAAGGTGTGAGGAAAATACACAAGAAAATAAAGGCACAGCAGAAAAGCCAAATGCATTTTTTGTATCCCTGTTCATTGCAGAAGCATTTAAAGAAGCTCACTTCCAAAATACTTTTACAAGGAAAGTATGAGAACTGCATCACATTGAAGTGTCCATAGGAAATATTTCCAAACAAACTGGTTAATCAGTAGAACCAAGTTACCAGGACCAGGTGGAATTCATCCAAACTGCTGAGCAGACATGCTGCTGGCGTTTAACAAATGCTTAAATGTTCTTGGTTGAAGAGAACAAAACCAGGACAAGTGTGATAACATTCTCCAATAAGTAGGTCTGCAAAGTGGCAGAAGGTTGCATTATTAATAGAGGCACATGGTTAAATTTGGAAACGTCAAGGGAGCCAACAAAGACCTTGGAAGAGAAAGCAAGTTGAGCATGTTCTCATGACTGGGTGGTGTCCTTGCAGCAGGAAGGATGGACAATGGCGCGCTGGGCCTCATGAGCACACGCACCCAGCAGGGCTGGGAGAGGTCATCTCTCCCCTCAGTCCATGGCAAACACAGCCAGAGCCAGGGAAGAGACACAGGCACAAGGAGCAGGGCCAGCTGATGGATTGGGTGTTTGAGTGCAGCACATCCAGGGCCTGGGGGAACTGCTCTGGGCAGCCTTGAGAGGGAAGGACAAGGGGACGCATGGCTGGCACCTGCAGCTTCCCAGCACAGAGCCAGACCTTTCTCAGAGGAACACAGGGACAGGACAACAGTGCTCCTATCTGTGGCAGCAGCCAGGCTGGGAGACAGGAGATTGTTGGGTACAAGGATAAGATTATTTACTCTGAGGTTGATCAAACACTGGAGCAGGTGCACAGAGAAGTCATGCAGTCTCCATCTGTGGAGATACAAAAAGCTCATCTGGCCTAAAGGCCCATGACCATGGGAACCTTCTGCAAGAGGTGGGATCAGAGACCTCCAGGGTCCCTTCCTACTTACATGTCCTATAAACCAGTAAGTGCCAGTCTCATAAGCCTGCCAGGATCCTCTGAGGGGACCATGATCTGCCCACATGCAGCTGATCTGGCATCCAATTTGGCACTTCAGAGTTTTTACCAAACTGTGTCACCAAAGACCTCTGCTGTCCAGCTGTAACAGGGTAAAAGGGGCTTTTTCAGGAATTAAATCATTATTAAAATTATTTGTCTATGTAATCCCCAAATTATCTGTGCTGTTCAACATATAAAAGGGCAGCAAAAGAGGTGATTAGAGAGTTAAAATTTCCTGATAAGAAATTTCTAAGCATAATCAAAGCTAAAACTGATAGCAAAGGACAGGAGCAGCATCAAGCAATGCACATAAATGAATTCTGAAGGGGTAGAATCATCATAATATATAGATATAATGATAGCTCCTACACCATCACAAGGCAGAAGAGTATTCATGAAGTCAGAATCAACAGCTTTCTAAAAATATCTAGACAATACTAAAAAGAAATCAAAATCAGCATGTTAGAAAACATGGCTTTCTAAAATTATGGGAAATCTGTATCTTGAAGTGCACATAATATGGGGCACCATAACGCTAAAGAGGGTACAGCACAACCAGAAAAATTCTAGGAAATAACATTACAAACCGGAGTGTGAAACATATTTTTATGAAGCTTTAAAGCTGCCGAGTATGATGACTGATGTGGCCATTACAAAGGTGAATGAAATCAGTAATGCCAAGAAGACGATAACAAATGAGGCTGTGCTTCTAGATATGAAAGTATTTTCTAATTATTTCCTTTTCAAAAACCTAGATTTGTAGGTCTCTTAAGCTTAGAGAGACTCTCATTAGCAAGTTATTTCTCTTTGACGTTCCATCATATCTCTGTGAAAATGGAGATCTAATGAATGTACTGTATTCCCTGAATTGTATTCTTACAAACTTTGGAAAAAAATATTATGCTCTATCAATTATTTTGCTGGCTATTAAAATCTGGCACAAATTGTATTCAAAGATAACAACAAAGATATTTTCATCCTAGATACAGCTAAAAGCTCTTCCATAGCTATCAAAATCAAGGATGCAAAACATAGTTTGTGAACTAATACCCATAAATATAACTCAATTCAGATGAATGGGTAGCTTTCTATCAGTAAAATACAAACTTTATGCTTACAAAGACAAATCAGCAACATTTTGCATATTCTACTGTTTTCACTTGTCTTTGTTGTACCAAACTAGATCACTAACAAGCACTATGTACCATATTTGTTAATAAATCTGAGGATTTAAATGCATAACAAATTTTCATCATGATCAGTACACCCATTTCCAGATAACTATACATATATTATACAGATAATATATTACCATGCACTGAAAACACTTTGACAATCATGTCTACACAGACAACACATAGTTATCCAGATCTAAATTACTATAATTAATACATATAGTTATAATGATAAAGCTATATCCAAGTAATGAAAAAAAGTCCCTCTAAAGTCTCCCTGTGCTGAAGCAATAATGTTTACAGACACATGGCTCCCTGCCAGGCATTTATCAACCTGCCTGTGAGCTGCAAACAGATCCAGTCTCCTCAGTGATTGCTGAGAAGAATGCTCACTTTGCTTTTTCTCTAATTAAGAGACCTTCCCCAGACAGGATGGTCTGGCTTAACTTTCTAAAAAAAACCATGCAATATATTCTAACTAAAAAAGGAGGTAGTGCATGAGATTTAGACCACAACAATTTCGTCTTACCAAAGCAGTTCGCCAATTCTAATTAGTCCTGGAAAAACCATCAGACAAGTTTACTGTCACCAACCACAGTGAGTCTATTAAGTTCAGACAGAACAAAGTTTGAGCTTTCCACGATGGGCTGTGCTCCTAGCAGGAGGTGCTGTGCCTTCTCAACCTCCTGGTGGCCATCCCAAGATTGAACTGGGATGTAAATGCATCCTCTCCACTACCTCCTGCTGCCATCTGAGCAGGGGTCATGCGACAGGCTTCATTAATGAGGAAAATCTAATTCTCTGCACTGTCTGAAGGAATAAAGAACACAGAATAGGACCTTGTTTTCTGCCAGTGGACATAATGGGCTGAGGGAGAGGATGTGCGTGGATGTTCAAGAAGAGAAAATATTCTGTCGAAACCTGGTTTTCAGCTAAAAGATGCTTGGGCCTTAGGTTATCATTCCCAGAAGCTTCCATCCTCCTCCAAGACATGAGAAGTACCTGCAGATGCATTCAGGTACACAGGTGGAATGCAAAAACCAATTTATTTTATGACTGAGCCGTGACACGCTTGTTCAGACAGCCTTTCTCAGATCTGGGAATCAGTTTCATTTACAACCTGGCACTTCAACAAATTGCACAAGACTAAGCGGGCATAAAACCTGGTATGCAGCTGGGATAAGTGCCCCACCAATCCTCTGCCTTCAGATTTTATGGTTTCTGAGTGTTGTTATGGTGCCTAATGCAATATAGTTGGGAAATGCTGTTACATTTTCAAGAACTGGTTTGGCACACACAGAATCAGGTGAGTCTGACAAAGCATCTAAGCAGCCATTAGAGTCAAGTTTCAACAAAGCAACATGGAAAACAAATTCCAAATCAGTTCTTGGGCCTTGTAACCATCTCATGCCACATCACATCATGGGTGACCTGGTACCCTGGCCAGGTTATTAGTTAAGCACAACTGTAATATTTCTAACACCAACACAGATACCCATTCAATACTGTAATTATTCAGTGGATGCAGCATAGGAAATCATTACTGCTAATTAAGGATCTTGTTTAAAAATTTAAAAACCCAAAAATTCAAGATAACCTTAGAAAAGGATTCAGAACATCCAGAGAAAAAGACAGACTATTTAGTTATAACATAAAAATCTATAGAATGCTCTGAGAACAGGTCACCAGATGACAGTACAGGAATAAAACTATGAAATATTCTTTTTTGCCTTTACTAGAGCAAGAATATGACAATGACAATGCAGGCAAGATCACTGTAATGATTCCACACAAAGAGATTGCCAGAAACAGAACAAGGATTGTGGATATATGTGTGCACATGAACAAATGTGACTTAAATTAACTGAGGTATAATTTGGTTTCCACTGTTAGAAAATTATTTTAATGCTGTGTTCAAAAACCATCAACAATTGTGACTTTTTTTCTTCAACATATATTATGTCTAATCCGGAAGCATCAGAATTCAAAGAGACAAAATCACGAGGTCCAAAATTTGCTTAAGCAAAAAGAATCACGAAAAACAGACACTACAGGGGAAAAAAGAAAAGTCTTTCTACTCTTGCTGTTAATGTCATCTAGAACTCTTTCACTCAGAGCAAAGAGAAAACACTCGCAGCACTGCCAGTTGAAGCAAGAATGACTATTTCCCGCTGAAAAACTCAGCTTTTCACTCCTCTCTTTAAAGGTTGAACACATGTTCTAGTATAAAACAGTTGGATGAAATTTTTTCTTCTGTTTTTCTTCTCCTTAAACAAAAGTTTCATCTTTTCAATATTTTTTACTGCAGTGAGTGAGAAAAAACACAGATATGGATATAAAGATATGACGTTCAAGTGAACTTCTGAATTTTCCTCCATGATTCAGCAAAAACATAAATTTAAAAGTTCAATACCTTTCTCTCAGAAAGTAACCTTTATTTTGGATTGAGGATTAAAAATATAATCTTAGTCCATCTTTAGACATACTTCTTCTTCCATGAAGAACAACTCATTTTATTCTCACAGTTGACACACAGTTTCCTGAAATCTGAAAGTTGCTCCTGACTTGCATAGATTTAAAAGAGGAAAGCAAATGGCCAAAATAACTAAAAAATTAGACAAGGACAATGAACAGAAATATTCAGCAAATTTTGGAGTACTGCAGAAGTAGGTGAAACGTTTGCATATGCATAATGGCTGGTCTTGAAGTACATAAACAGAAAATAATTACTCAAAATCAGATTTTAAGCCTCTGTGGAGTAAATTTCTTATAAACAGTGCAGACATCATCTGCATCCCAGATAAGTATGCTGGGAAAACATTCAGTGTTAATCTAATGAACATGCTTATAAGCCCTACATCTAACGATCTTAAAAGTTTTCTTCAATTCTAATACAATTGACAGTACAATGAACCAGCATGCCTCATCCTGGAATACCAAGCATCTGCTCCAAGAACTTTATCTATGGAAGACTGGGAATCATAGCCAGACAGTGAGAACAGTAAAACAACGTGCCTGGTGCAGATACAAAAGCTGTTGAAATATTCAGTGACTTTTCAGCAGAATTTACACATGTATGCAGGTGAAGAGACTTACTGTTGCTATCTACAAAAACTAATAGCTTTTGTCATACTACTAGAAATTCATCAGGTCTTTATATTTTGGCTATAAAAAGAATACAGAATTTTATTTAGAATTAAAATTTAAAACTGGAACAGAAAAAACCAAAATGATGCAACTATGATGAATAAACATGGCTATCACCAGCATCTGATTGTCACAGTGACAAAGGGCTGTATTGCACATCACATTTAAATTATTGTGAAACGCCAGTTCCTGATTCTTTGACCAATCCCATTGAAAAAAAATATCTATAGGTTCTGCTCAGCAAATGATTAAAAAAACAACAACAGAAAAGCATGCTTCTTTCATGCTGCCTAGTAGGAAGAATGTATGTTGCGGCACTGATTTTCCCTTCCTGCCCCCCATTTTTGTTAATGTCAGTTTTTGAAAGTGAATGAGGTAATAGTTTTTAATTAATTTGAAATGTTCCCACAGTTTAAGATCTGTTCAAGGCAACCAATGTGTCGGTATATGCTGGACAAATGAAAAAAATAAAAATGAAAATCAAAAGCGTATAGACAAGAAATGTTTATTGAAAAAGAAAATAAAATTAAAAGACAAAAATGGGTGGGAAGCACAGCACACAGAACTAAGAATTAAAAAAACATCTTACATTCTGCCTTAATGGCAGCACAGTTAATAGGGACAAAGGGACGTCGCGCTGCCTGCCGCAGCCGGAGGGTATTTTTGCAGACCTGCCGGGCCAGTTTTGTCCAACAGGTGGTGTGCAGGAAGAAAGCCTGCCGCGTTTTCACCGCCGACTTGGGGCTGCCCGTGTTCCGCACCGGGGTGCCCTGCGTGGCCTGCCGCGACAGGTGCGTTCGGACATGCGGCTCCTGCGGGACAGAACACGGACAGCGTCACACACAGCTCAGCCACGGCACCCAAACAGCCCCAGAAGTCAATACAGCCTCGGAAAGGGATGCAGGACATCCACAAATAATTTTAGAAAAGGATTCAGAACATTGAGAGAAAAAGAGAGACTATTTAGTTATAACATTAAAATCTACAGAGTACACTGAGAACAGGTCACCAGATGATAGTACAGGAATAAAACTATAAAATATTCTTTTTCTTTTTTGCTTTTACTAGAACAAGAATATGACAATGCAGGCAAGATCACTGTAATGATTCCACAGAAAGAGAGAAATGGAATATGGATTGTGGATATGTGTGTGTACATGAAGAAATGTGACTTAAATTGGTTGAGGTGTAATTAGGTTTCCACTGTTAGAACATTATTTTAATGCTATGTTCAAAAACCATCAACAATTGCGACTCTTTTTCTTCAACCTATGTTAGGTCAAATCAGGAAGCATCAGAATTCAAAGAGACAAAATCACGAGGTCCAAAATTTGCTTAAACAAAAAGAACATAGTATCTGTGAAAGACAGACACTTGCTTTTTCCCCTGTAGTGTCTGAGAAAGACAGACACTACAGGGGGGAAAAAGAAAAGTCTTTCTACTCTTGCCGTTAACCTGATGTAGAACTCACAGGAATACATGAATAACATGTCTAAGCACTTGACACCAAGCAGGCCTGTGCACAAAGTCACCGAGCAGACAGCTCTATTGAGAATGGATATATAATGCCATCCTAAATGAGATGTTGTATAGTAGATTTAACATTTCAGAGCTAACAAACCATTTGACAGACAAAATGACATTTCTACACCAAAAATGCAGGAAGCACGTGCTTATTTATACAAGAAGTAATCCAATAAAGATATGGCAAGGCCTAAGCACTGTACAGTTCTACTTAACATAGAAAAAGGATTAATAAATTGAGTTTTGTAGTACCAAAGTTGGATACATAAATGAAAACCATTCCATTAAATAATCAAATCACAGCAGTCTTGTGAAAGCACCACGTTTTGTTCTAGAAAAGCTTGTCTACACAATCCTACCTCTGTAGGTTGGCTGGAAGTCAGCTTATCTTCATCTGTCTGTGTGGGCATTTTCAGGCCACCATATTTCTTCCAATAAATCCAGCAAGATGCACACAACCTACACTGCATATTAGGAGGGCCCCAAGAATACCATTGGTGAGACTGCGGAGCTAAGGAGGAGAAAGCAGCACAGTGAACTGGTGCAAGCTACATTCACTACAATCAATCCAAATGCTGTAATAGATTATTATATACAGCCATAACACATGGCAATAGTAGAGCTTTGTATGGATAAAAATTTAATATATTTCACACTGAAAATAAGAACTCGAATTGTTTGTTGCTTCATTTTTTTACAAAAGTGCCAGAGAGGTGAACTCTAAATGGAAATTTTGGAAATGCTTCTAAAATGAATTTCAAACCAGAGACTTTGTATTGCTAACGTTTTCTCCCAGAGAACTACCAGAAAAAAAAACAACAAACCCACTATTTCCAATCTCACCCTGGAAGTCAGGCTAATTAAGTTGGATTTTATATCTGCTCTCATATAACCTCTGTTGAGGGCTGCTATTTCAAGAAGTCCAACAAAAATTATCACACAAAATACTAGAAAGAAACAACAGTCCTCCCCATGAGTTCCCCAAAAACACTCCAAAACCATTCAAAGAAAAAAAAACCCTCAAAAAGCCTCTGCAGCCTTAAAGAAAAACCAAAACTAAATTTGAATCTAGCTTTGTGAAGGTAAAGGAATAATAAATCAATGCCGCCATATTATACTACTTCATCTTTCTGTGCTTTATGAATTGTTTAAAAATAAATCATTAAGAAATTTGAATACTTTAATTAATATACTGAAGGCAGCTCTAACTTTAAAGATATTTCTGCCATAAGAGAAATTGCAAATTATCCTCTGTCATATCCTAACAAAATAACATACCTTTTTTTTCTAACAGCACATATTAAGATTCACCCAAATTCTTGAGTCATTAAAAAAAATATTTACTTACTATAGCAGCTTTCACAAGCCCGACCTATTACTGTGGCTTGTGCCTGGTAAGAAGCTCCCATTGCTCCATTGACTGCAGCAGGTTTCCCATTGTTGCTGGATATTTGATTGGGATTTGGTTTATTGCTTTAAATAAATTTTTAAAGGTTGCAAAAAAAAAAAAAAAAAGTGGTTTTATTAACTGGTTAGTGAACAGGAATACAAACAATCTAGTTCTGGAATTCTGATGTGTGCTGACAATATCTATAAAATCTTTTCTAAACAACAAGAGTAATTTTTGTACTCCTCTATTATTTTCAGCATTGTCAGACACTTGCTATGTTAGGAGCTACTCTGACACTCCTATTTGCAGCTTTTACTGTGCTCAGATTGTCTAAGCTACTTGGAAAGCTCATAAAAGACCAACTCTCAGGGGTCAAAGCATTAACACAAGTCTGACATAGCATGGAATTTAAGAAGGTGGTTCTAGTCAACAGATAAGGTTTACGAGTTGAGGTTGGACTTTGATTGAAGTATAACAAGAGGACCAACAGTGCCTGTAATATAACAAGGTTTTTGATCCCAGGAAAGGGTCAAACAGCCTCCTGTCTGAAAAAGAAGTACACACAGTAATACAAATGTCTTATAACCACAGCAAAACTCACCCATCTATCTGGTTGCTCTGTCTCAGTTCTCTTCTAAATTACTTCCTCTCTGAGAAGGCTAACTGGTTTTTGGATATTTCTGTTTGGCTTTTTAGTAATATTGTACTGTATCATTCTCATAATTATTCTAACTTCTAATACTTTAGTGAAGTAGGACTTTACAGGCCAATTAATTCAGAGGGCATCAATATAACTCCTCACTAGATTAAGTGCAGTATTTCCAGAGTTTCAACTTTGTGAGTGTTTATTACCCTCAATACAATGCAAGGCTGGATACATTGATTGCTAAGATAATTATTTGTCATTTTAGGCAGCATAAAATACATTAAAGAAAAGTTAAAATGACAATTGAAGAAACCTTTGCTGTATCAAGTCTCAATTTCCAATGCCAATAACTCTGTCTCCTGCCTTTTCCTTTTTCACTGTATCAGCAAGAGACAATTTTACAATTTCCACATATTCTTTATCCTGGACTCAAGGTACAGGAGAAGAGCTGGAAAGACAATTAAGTCTTCCACATTATGATCTGTTGCTTAGTTACCTTTCAGAAAGGCCATGAATTGAAAGGGACTCTCTGGAATTAAGGACAGAACCTCGCAATTGTAGGAAATACCTAATGATCCAGTTGAAAAAGCTACTCAGCTCTGAGAATCAATTCTACTCAGATTTCAAATGCAATAAATGAGTCTTGAAGCAGAGCATTTAGCAATCCCATGACCACCACAGATACCAAAGCCTTGAGAAGTCCCTAGAAGACTAGAGATTTTGTCTTGAAATGGAGGCAAAAGACAGGCAGTAATATAAAAACACAAAAATCCCACCTTTAGAAACACATTTTGTCATCCAATACAGCTGGTCCCTACTGTGAACTTATTGAAAATCCATAACTGTCCACATGGACCAAGGAAATTAAATTGAAAAGGCATAATGTAAAGTCTGAGCACCTTATGGTTTTCCTAAAACAGCCACTCATCTGAGAAGGTTAGGGAACACTCATACTAGAGTTTTTAGCTTTTTTTAAACAGTGTGACTTATTAGAGATGTGAGCTTCAAAACTCACAAAATTTGTTCTGAGATAAGATTAAAATAAATTTAACAGTCTGCTGCTTTCATTGTAACATCTGTTTAAGAGAGAAAAGCCAGTATGAAATATGAAAATGAAACTCTATTGTATGTAATTTATACAAGCCATCAAAAATCTTTGTGAAGTACTTCCTTTGTTATTACATTCTTCTGTTGTACAAACACTCACAACAATGGGAAGTTCATATATAAGTAAACTGAATATACCCACAGAAAGCTTAGAAAAAAGTGATTTGGAATCCTTTCTCTTGTCATAATATTGAGGAAATTATGAGTATGTAGGAGGGATTTTATCTTTTTTCTACAAATCAGATGTTAACAGAAGCAGATATAGCATCCAGTTTAAATGTAAAAGAAATACAGATCAAAAACCCCTCAGAAGAAAACAAGATTGCTTTAGTAGCATGTGGTCAAAGATAGAAGATCTGGGGCTGTGTGCTACCTTTAATTTAGAACCAGAACATCTCTTGTCTCTAGATGAAGAACAGATTTTATCAGCCAGATAAAACTGTAATGGGAAATTATCTCATTTTATTTTTTGTAACTACATTAACAACTGCTTCTACTTTGAAATACTGCATTTACACAAATATGAAGTGTTGTACTACAGGATTTGGAAAAGATTGTTTTCCAAAAACTGCATTGCATTAATAAGCTCTTCTTGCATGTGAACAGACCACAGGTAGCACTTGATCAGCTTTTGTAAAACTTCTTATTCCAGACAAAAAGATTGCAGGTCAAAAACAAAGAGCAGTAAAGTAAGAAAGTTTCACTTAAAACAAGAATTTCTGGCATTTTCAGATTATATCTCTGAATATAATAAATCCTGTAGAAGTAACTATTACAGAGATGACTAGGAAAATACCATGCATGTAACTGCATGTTACTGTTTCAATTTTACCTGTATATTATTCAAAAAATGAATTTGTTGTTATACTCACTAGGTGGGGATGTATACTTGTTTCAATTTACTTTCTGCTTCAGCTGCTTTCAGACGTTTCTAGTTGAAAAATTAACACATTAAAATACTTTATTACATTAAGGTATGACATTTCATAAAACTGCACACGCAATACATCTTTAAATTATTTCTATTTTGTGATTTCAGAAGAGCTTCCAAAACAAGCGTAGAAATGTACACAATGAAAATCACAAAAAACAAGCTTTTGATTTTTAGTATTAGTTTGAAATCATAACGTGCTGTCCTTCCCAGTAAAACTCACAGGCCTCACATATGACAACAAAACTGTAAAAATGACACTGACAGCCTACATAAATCACATCTATATAAACATGCATGACACTGTGACTATCCCTCATTGCAGAATTAAGTAGAAATTAAATTAATGAAATTGTGCTCCTCACCAGTCATGTAATAAAACTTGTCTGCTCTGTCCAGACTGAGGCTGAGCTTTTATACCACAGTAGTAGTAACAATCAAGTCCACTGAGTCTTAGAAATAACTAAACACTAGCATTAAATGCCATCAAAACTGTGGCTCAGGAACATCACAGTAACAGGACAGCTATACTATTGTCAAGATAGTAAATTCACAGACTAAAATTCACAGACTAAATCATTACTTTCTTCATACTTGCAACAAACTCAAACCATTTTGCATTTCTACAATGTTGAGAAGTTTTAGTAATTGCCATATATTATACAAGTAACTAGGACAACAGTTTTTTCAACAGTGGCCCAAAAAATATAGAGTTCAGGTGTCCAAAGGTTTTTCCAAAACATTTGTATGTAAAAGATGAAGAAAAAACATTATTTCCCTGCATTTTCTGTACTCAAGACATTACTTCTGTTCACTTGAGAGAAAACAAGGAAAAGCAAGAGAGAAAAGAATTTGAATCATGGTCAATTTCATTACAGAGGATAAAAAAAAAAGGAGGGGACACATTTATACCCAGCAATAATAAATCAGTACTACCTGTCTTTATAAGGTGATTAAAATTCAGTCCTTCATTTCACCTGCAATCACCACTTCTCCTCTCTGCTGTACTCTTATTTTTTGATATCCAAATTTGCAAGGTTTATAACCCAGGAAAATATTTCCCACCTTGAGAAAACTGTCATGAGATGACTCTGCTCTGAGAGTCCCTTGCCTGAGCCATGAGGTGAGTCACAGGGTAATTCAGCTTTACTGGCCCAGCAGGCTGACTAAACCTCCTGGTGTAAACTGCTGTTCTTCTCCATTTCATTAAGTTGCCTCTGTGTTGTCCATTTATAAAACTCTCACTTATAAAATTGCATCTTTAAGGAGTAATGTGTAACAAATAGACTTCTAATCAGTCCATGCCACCATTAATTAATTCCTGTGCAATGAGAGCTCTCTTCCATTTATCTCCAAAACAGTTGGTGTATTTTTCCTTACAGCTTTTTGCTGTTCACAGATGCCCAGTTTGGAGCTACAGAAGTGAATCCCATTGACACTGCTGGTAGTAGCAATCTTTCCCCAGTGCCAGACTTGGCAACACTGCTCTACCCTCAGGAGGCCCACAGAAAAATGCAAACAGGTCTGCTCTGCCTGCTTGGGTCAGTTTTTACAAGAGCAAGGAAAAAGAACAGCAGCAGCACCATGCTCCAAGTCTCATAAACTGGTAGTTTTTAATCTGAGAACATTTCACAGCCCCAGCAGAGGAGCTCCTGGTGGTGAACTTAACAGCAGGACACAGGTTTTCCACAACTGTCTCTCATTCCTTTTCTTATTATATCCAACAATATAGAACTTGTTTGCAGCCTGACAGAAGCATGTGAAACTGCCAGGCAACCACACTCAGAGCTTCCTAACAAACTGGTCCATTCTACAAAAATGAATAAATCTCACTGCACACCTACCACGAGCAAAAGAGAAAATACAATAAAGGGCAAAAAAGGATGAAAGTAGCCCTGAAGCACTGTCAGAATGTAAAGGCATGTGTAGGAAGCTGTATTAAGCCCTGATGGCAGTGCCAATGAGAAATAACTACATAGACATGGATTAAATTTTAGCATACTTTTAGTACTGGCATGGGGGTTGTAAGGAATGCAATTTAACAATTGCTTTTCTCTTTTATTTACTAAAGGGAATGATATACTGTCTTCTAAAAAAATAAATGATGCAATGATATTTCAGTATAAGCTATATTTTTATACATTAAATTTATGGCTACCATTGGTCTCTAAAAGCAACAGAACATGTCACAGCTTGAATTCTCACTGACATACCAACTTCTAAGTATAGAGAGAGAGGAAAGGATGCAGAAAGAAGACTACCAACAGTGCAGTTTCTGAGATTAAACCTCTGTTGAAATCTAGAGTCAGAACTGGTAAAAGCTGGAGGCTGAAACTGAAAATATTTAGACAAGAAACAAAGCACCAGTTTGTAACAAATCCCTGGAGCAATGTAATGAATTACTGGAGCAATGTAACAAAGAGAGCTGATGCTTTACCTGGAGAAAAAATTTACATCTTAAACAGTATATCAAACAGGTCTTACAGACTGCATTGCAGGGGAGGTCAGACTATACTAACCCAGTTTTTCATGGGGTCTAATGCTAGCATTGAAAATGAATGTTTGTGGGTTTAAAGAACTTTCGTTAAAAATATCAACTTACAAATATCCCAAGAACTGACCCCTTTCCTAAATTAGTACTGTTTTCAACAGTGGAAATAAATAAATAAATGAGAGGCAAAAGTATTATACTGTTGCAGAAGAACAATTTAGGCACCATTTAATGTGTTCACTCTTTCCCTCTTACGAAGTCTCAATAAAGTCTTTTCCCGTTGAATCGGACTTTCAAGGAGAACACCACAAATAAGTTTTCATTCAGTAGAATCAATCAATCAAACCTGGCCTTCCTCAAACACTGTATATAACACAGTGGACATGAGAAGTGCCCTATCACCAGGAATGATTACCCAAGGCTGAATTAGTTTTGCTAGACAAATTCAGAGAACTTTAGCATATCTTCCCTTCAGTTTGACTTGAAGGGAAGATGTTCTCAAAGCAAGGTGGTAGCAGTACCTCCACTGCCATTAAATCACCACATTTATAACCTAGCAAGAATAACATTTAGTAAAAATTATGATAAATAAACCTTTTTTATGCCTGACACAACACATCCAATTCTCACAAAGAAATAAAGATAATTAAAAGAAATTTTTTATATTAAATCACACTGATCTAGAACTCAGAGATTGTATTTTAAGATTCAAGTATGTGCACTGACCTTTTTCATCTTCCCATTCCCACAAGTCCCCCCGCCCCTCAAGCATGTGATTTAGAGAAGAATGAGTCTGGAATTTCCACTTTATTACTGAATACATTTTCTCCCTGAACTACATTCAATTATCACTGCTTGTTCTTTTTGGGAAAAAAAACCCTACCGATATTGTTTTGACTGAACGGTATCAATTTTTACCATTCAAAAAAAACTAAACAAGGGTATGATGAAGTTCTGATCCCTTCTTAGGAAGGATTATAGAAATGTTAACCAGAATAAAAATTAAACAGTTGGCCTACACTGGTTTTATTACTGAAGATCACATAGGTGACCCTGAAAGAACATGTCTAAAGAATTCCATCCTGAGGGTATTGCCATGGTTTGAGTAGGATGTTGGAAGTTTATTTAGTTACAAGTAAAACACAGGCATTTACCAGAGCATTCAAGTTGCAGATAACCATAAAGCCTATGTGATTTTCCTGTAAAAACCCTAATCCTGTGAAAAGATATGCAATCTTAACACATAGACTTTGATCATTGTAGCAATAGAATCATAAAGAGCTCTAGAGAACTACAAAAGGAATCTCAGTCTTTCACCAACTACTCCAGAGGAGCATTTCAGAAAAAAAAGCCACATTTTTATCTGATTCTTAAAGATAATCTGTTGCCCAGCCATTAAGAGCTGACAAGATACACAGCAAATCTCTGCTGACAGCACCTGTCTAGGACAAAAACCAACAGTGGAAAAAAAAAGGGGTTAAAGTGAAAGGAATGGTGACAAACCTAGAAAAACATGCCTTTATAGGCAACATATTACATTCTATTTGTATTATCCATAGAACTAAAATGTCCTAGTGATACTCCAAGACTTTACCATGCAGTAAAAAACCTTTCCCTTACTTTCCATGCCCTAACAAGATGATGTAGAAACAATTTCAAATAAGCCAGAACAACCTGAACTAACCATCCCTCTGACACATTCAATTTGAAACAAGTCCAAAGATCTGTCTAATAGTACAGCTGTAGTTATTACAGCATAAAAATTATTTTCAATACACTGTCCATAACATCACCATCAATCATGTGGCGAATAAAGGAGGTACTAACTTAAACATTAAATCAGCAATTAAAATGGAGCCTTTTCAAGTATTTTATGGTCTAAACCAAGGAGTAAATATATTAAAAGTACATTATATAAAAAGCATCAACATTGACATTTTGCCTAAACATGCTAAAAACATCTCAGTATTGGTACCCAACAAAATCTTGATTTGTTTTTGCTCCACAGCAACCCAAACAGTTGAATATTCAATCAGAAGGATGAACAAAACCACTGTGTGCAGAATGGTCTCAATTTCGAAATGCTGGTAATGCCAAAGTAATGCTTCATCCAGAAGTACCAATTAAGGGTTCATAACACCAGCAGCCACTGTAACACAACGTATTTTGTGCTTCCTTCAGTCCCATGGCAGAGCTTCACAGTCCAAAGCATTTGCTCTGCAGCCCATTTCCATCTGATCCCCTACTGAAGGGGGAACCAGGAATCCTATTGCTTCAAACCAGCATAGAATACAAATAGGCTAAAAAGCTCTTCACAGCTATGGGATGTACAGCAGAGGATTCAACAATGCAGCCTGTAACACCACTGGTCTATATCCCAAAATATTACCTTAGGCCTCCCATCACGTATCTTTTCAAGAACACAAACAGATTTTTATGGTTTAACAAGATCACTTTTTTTAAAAGAATGTCTCAGACTGGTTCATTCTGAAATAGTCATTGAATTACCTGCTGCACATATCTGTCAGTGGTTTTCCACATGTAGTAATACTCAATGATGCTAGTCAGCGACTTCCAAGGGAGCTGAAAAACATTTGTTACAAGTGAAAGTGGTTCCAAGAAATTGCAATGTCCACTTCTTATTGAACACATGTTAAAATCAAGTATAGTTGAGGCAAATACTAAAACCTGAATGTGTTAAATAACTGCATTAGAATCCATATGCAAAAAACCTACATATTGCAATTAATAATACACAACAATTAACAAGTATGCAGAATTATGGTATCATCCATCCAAATCTAAATGTAATTTATTCTTTTTAAGTCATGTAGTTAAACAAAATTATCAAAATAGAATGCAGATTTCCATCAGAAAACTCAGAGGTACTTCTCTTTTGTGAAGTGTGTCCGTTGGAGAATAACATTAGGACTAAAAGAAATCATCTTGACAAGACTGTGCTTGAGTCTCATGATAATTTTACTCTTAAAAAATACAAAGGATACCATACATAGCTCAGATTTTTCATGTCCCATAACAACTCAGCTGCTCATACATTACCACTAGTTTTGCATAAACTCCCACATGCTCTCAACTATTATCAAGAAACAAAAGGATGCGAGGGACAAATGTTACCCCGAGCAACATGAGTGATACTGAGAATAAATATTTCACAAAAATCTCTGTACAAACAAGGTGCCTTTGATAATGACAATTATTTTGGGTGCCCACGTTCATCAGTAAAATAAAAACGTGTTAACCTAAGTGTAGGGGAGAAAATTAGGCAATCATTTTTAATTATCACCAAATAATCTATTTATCTCCACAAGGTCTTTCTATAATTTAAATTAGTATGTCTCATCGAAAATTTATGCAATTTTTCTTCATAACTTGGAAATGTAATTTGTGTGTTATATTTTCTAGAACCACACATTAATGCAAATATTATCTGCTTTCTAAAAATGAGGACAAAGTTTAGGATGTTCCAGAAAATACAGGTGTGGAAACTGATCTTTCCAACCATACTGACCCCACTAGGCAGCTTTCTGCATGTTTTAAGCCATAAGAAGAGTTTCCAGCACCTTTGGTTAAATTCCTAAAACACCAGAGGAACATCACCTCAAACTCCTCTCCCTGCATGCAGGAGCTGACTACAAAAGGAATTTTTCAAGCTGCTTGATTCAGGTTCAGAGTCAGAAATGTTCCACAGTGTGTGAATCCCTGAACATTTACATTTGATCCAAAAGCAACAGGGTATGAAATGCTTATGCTGATGTCTCAATAGTAACATAACTCAGGTTCCTAAAATCTTTTTGCTTTCTCAGGTAAATTATGCCTTGAGAGAAATGTTCCCTCAAAAAGGCCAGTGACAAGATGTTTTTGATGTAAGGTGACAGATAAAATGATTCTCAGTCTTCAGGTCCACATTCCCCCTGGCATCCAGGTGAAATGCTGTCACCCCAACTACCTGCCATTGACAATTGGTACATTTTAGCATATCCATATTTATTTTCCTTTCTGAGTATTTATTAGCATGTTCATGCTACAAATGCTTGTCATTTCTCTAGAAAATACTTTAATCTGTTTTAACTATGGCTGTGACACCAGTATGTTTATTTATTCACTAGGTATTTACAATTAAAGGAAGGTAATTAAGATGCTTGGACCAAATAACTGTAATCCTTTTATACTTTGATTCAAAACTTGGAAAAGCTGTTTGGCAGACTGAGTATGGATAACCTGTATTTCATTTACCTATGCACTTAATGCTCTGAACTGCCAGTGAAGCTGTGAACCACAGATTAATACATTGTCATTACCAAATTCTGTTCTTGAAAGAACTAAATATGCTCATCTGGACAACATTTTTGAAGCAGAAAATTAGCAAAAACTATCAGGTCTACAAAAACAGAGAGAGGGGAGTTTTAAATTTCTTTAGTTTCTCTAGGCTAAAAATAGACCAATCAAATTAGATCAGCAAGAAAAAATTAAGATTATAAAGCATCCTAAAATGAACATGGTAATTTTAAGGCATGTTTTCACAATTTCCTAAAGCTGGAAAGCAGTTGCTCCTGCTTTCTATAAACAGTCCATATTCTTGATTACTAAGGTCTTTCTTGCCATATCTGAGATGTAATAGTTACAAATTTTAGAAAACTGTTGATTATGAAAAACTAAGAATTAACAAGTATATCATCTTTGTCTTACTGTTAGGAAAATAGTTACATTTGGAGAATATGGAATATTCATTCTTTTTCCATTTTACTACTCTGGAATGTAAAATAATTGAAGCACATCAAGTAAATTTAATTAGCTTGTAAGGTTTAGCTTGATTAGGATTCACACAGAGTCTTAAAGATAGAAGAACCTCTCCTATAAGAGTGAATGAGTCAACAGTTGATGAAAATTATTATTCAACAGCTAGATTGGTAACTTGATTACAATTGAGCATCTCCTAGCCATGAAAAAAATGTAAAGACCTTTACACCATTTAACTTATAACAATCTTGTTTACTAACATTTGGTGTTTGTAGCTTAATACTTGAGCTGCACATGGAACATCAAACAGTGGCAGTTCCCAGTAACTGCTGGAAAAGTAAATTAATCTGCCCTTTACAGAACTGTCATGTAAGGCTGCAGTTGCAGCAGCTGTGCCTTGCAAATCTGGGCTGACACAGAAAAGGCAACTCCTGTGGGATGTAATGACTCAGGCAGGTACTACATCACCCTTCTGCTTCAGCAGACTGCTACCAGCCCCTTTCTGCCATGCAACATGACTTTCTTGCCTGTCCTGTGGCAACACTGCACAACTGCTGAGGTTGGAGTTTAATCTCAGGCACTGCAGATTTAATTTTATCATTAGATCCTACCTGGAGACTCAAACAAGTTCACACACATGCTATCAGCCCATTATCTTCTTTGCCCTTGCTCTTACAACACATCTAAGAGTACTTAGCAGAAGTAAACTTATCAATGGCTGGCCACTGAAGAGAGAGAGGATAACAGATGAAAGTACTATGGTGGAAAATCACTGCTTACATGCTACATAGTTATACCTACCTCACCTTGCAGAAACTTTTCACATATCTGTGATCTAAATCTCGAAGGACTATTTTCGATGATTACTTAGAAAGCAAATGTGTGTTTTCAAATCCCTGCACTTTTAGATTGCTACATAGGAAGTGAGAACACAAATTTTACACTAGAGAAATTAAGAAATCCCAAGACTACACAATGGCTAACATAATTGAAAGATTTTAAATGACATAGAATTAAATAAAGACTCTGCACTGTTCTTAGTGCCATATAAACTGAGATATAAAATAGATGTTCTTCTAAGGATGTTTTTAAAATTACACTTTTCCAAAAATTAAAAAAAAAACTGACTAAGAATAGATAATATCCCTGTTCTAACTAAAATAAGCTGTAATTAATTAGTGCCCCATATCCATTTGTGCTGCACTCTGACTCATGGTTAAGGTGCTCTCAGTAGACTATGCAATCTTATCACCAGATCTGGGTGTGTCTTCTGCTTTGGGAGGTGACCAGGGCAAAAGAGCTGCATTTTGGGAAGGAAGATTTAGTGAAAGAGGGAGAATATTGGGACAAAATTTTATCAGGGTATCCAAGACAAAATTTTAACATTGTAAACAGCTTCTATGAAAGTCATTCAAATATCTAGCATCTGAATATTATAAATGCAGAAGCAATTCTTGCTACACGATACTACACTGCACCACTTTAATGCAGTAGCAGGTAACACAAAAATTATATAGAAAATAAAAATACTACATAAATACCAGAGACAAGCCTTTTGCATGCTTGCTCACAAACTGTGTTAGGACACAACTTGTAAACAGCCAATAAAACATGTTATATGCTTAGGGCATTTTCAAAAGCCAAATATTATATATTAGGAACCATTTAATTAGAAGGCATAGTCCTGAACTCTTGTACACTTACAAATGAGACCCATTTGCCTGTATAAGAAATAATGAGGAATGCAGTTTACCTTAAGATTTCTGTTCTAAAATATCTATAAATATTGGTTTTCAGTAATATGTTCTTGAACTTAAAAGAGCTGTTTCAGCCATGATGCAATGTTCAACCTTACGTCATCAATGTAATGAACGTTTTCTCCCTTAGGAATCTCAAAATTAAGCATGCAGATGTAATACACCTATTAAAATGTCAGCTCCTTAGAAAAACAATAGCCTTCACTTCCCACCTTCATTCAATTACCTGTTCCATTTCAAACTGTGAAAATGAAGGAAAGACAGCTCATTGCCAAGCCTCCTCCCACTGTCCTGTAAGGACTTCTGTCTTGTAAGGACTTCTACATTTACCATACAGTACCTTTTTTTTCCCCCCCCTCACAAAGACTATTAATAAACTTCTGCAAAGAAAACTTTAAAATCTGAGTTCTCAGAGTCATGCAGAATGAGATGAATGTGAAAATGTTTCAATCGACTTCAGTCTCAAAAAATGGAATTCCCTTGGTTCAAATCTTAACTTTTTCATGAAGCCCGACTTGAACATGGTACAACAGAGGAAATATTTTTCCTTGAAAGAAAAAGGCTCTCCATAAAATGTGAAAAAAATTGCAGCAAATTACTAGCAATTCTAGCAATCAGTGTTAGAATCCATTTGATTTCATTACTCTGCATTAGAATTAGCAAATTAAAGGTTTACTGCCCTATAGTCTGATACTTCAGTACAAAAATGATTGTAGTTAGAACATATTGGAAAACATTTCTTTTACTCTTCAGAACTGCCAAAACATCTAATATGTCAAAACAACTCCCTGTAGTACATTTTAAAACCTATCTGAATTCAAATTTCTCTCTGCTAATCATAGTAGGAAACCCCAGCTTTCCAAAAACACCCAGGGGAGTCAGCCATGTAGCTGCTAATGAATTTCACTGGAAATTGTGGAAACACAAATTTCCAGTGAAATTCTGCAAAGCTCCTGGACCTTTTTCAGATGCTTGCAAGATCCTTGTAAAACTCCTTATTGGAGTTTCTTAGCATGAGACGTCCTACCTGATATTAAACCACGAAAAAGATTATCTTCTGTCACCATCTTTCCAAACAACAGCAGTGAACAAGAAAGCATATTGACTTCCAGCCAGATAAAATGTATAGATATGCTAATCACACGTGTCAGCTACACAGATTTCTCCCCTAGCTACACCTTCCAAACCTACAGAAAGCAACTATGCTCAACCATGGCAAAACACAGCTCCAGGAAAGGGCACTGCTTTCATACTTACAAAGTCTTGTCGAATGTCATTGAAGTCCTTGCCATACTTTTCCAAAGCCTCTTCAAATAAGCTAGCTTCTGATGCTGACCACTCCTCCATTTCATCTCTACACAAGACAGGCCCTCCCAGTGGCACCAGAACACCAATGGCACTGCTCAGGTCATAGTTGTGTTTATGCAGTGTGTCCATTGCATGAAACTGGCAGGGACAAGGAGAGAATAAACACGTGTTTAAATTGACACTAGTCCATCTCAGTTAATGCAAATTCAATATATTATTCTCTATAAACCAAGCAAGGAGCCTCAATTAATGCTAAAATTAGAATCTATCTTGATATTGTATTTTTCCATTGTGGAATGTAAGGAAAATAAATGGTTTATTACTTAATCTGGGAAAGGAAATACCTTGATAAAACGTTTACCAAAAATGACATTAGTTTATTAGTTCCTGAAAATTACTAGCAAACATTTCTAAAGAATCTCTTATTGGCAGAAACTGGTTCTGAGAAACCCAATAAAGACAGTGGCATATATTGACTGTGGGTCCATTTTCAATTAACAGAAGCTCTAAATAATAACCAAACAGCTGCTCAGACATCTATGAGCCCAATATTCTCATTGCTGGAGAAGGAAGTCATTTATTGTTTTCATTATCATCATACTGAAACAGCAGCAAGATTTTTGTCCCTTGCTCAACACTGTTATCACAGACCGGTAAATAGTGTTTCCTTGGTTGATTCCCTTTCTGTTATAAAAGGGAAAAACAGAAAACAAACAAATTAGAACAATCTTCCCACTGTAGGTAACACTGAATGCTCCCATTGCTAACGAATGATGGGGAATATAAAAAGTAAACAAATCCAACAGTTGGGAAAATGAGCAGCACGCAAGAAGCATTTCTGACTCAGGGTCCCAAAAGACCCCAGCAGCACAATCCAACTGGCTGTGCTGAAGGAGATATCAGAGCTATAAGTGTGATAATGTCTGTGACTCTCTATCAGTCCCCTCCCCATGTGTCCCACCACACTGCTGAGCTCCTCATGTGGCATGCAAACTCTCACAAGGCCACACACCCAGCTATTAGAAAACCTTGCAAGGAAGGAGCATTCCTGCATTATGTATCAGTAGAGCAATTCCAGCTGAGCTTCTGCATATAAATCCAGCGCAAATAATGGATTTTTCTTGGGTTTTGCCACCTTCTATCAATGACTACTGTCTTTCTCCAGTGCTTACTATAAGTTTTTGAGTGCTATCAAGCACGAGATTCTGGAACTGTTTTGTCTGCAAGAAGCAATGTCACTATTATCCTGCAATGCATCATTTTACTTATGGTTCAATCAAATTCACCAGCCTAGAGAAAAGCCATCATTAAAATCAAGTATTCTAATAGTAAAGTATGTAACATAATGCCTAAAATCCATCAGCTTCATATTAGAAAATGTACATTGAAATCACTGATTTATTGTTTACTATTTAGGCAAATGAGTAAACCAGGTCTAAAGATTGAACTCTTACAGTAGATGTGGTACTGAGGTTGAAATCTGTTTAAATTGCAACCCTCATAGAACAGCAGTACACACAGGATGTCTTCCAAGCAGCTGCTGAATCCAGATCTATTCACTGATACCAACTTTCATAAAAACAACAACAGAAGTGAATACATTGGAATCTTGCTCTTGCTTTACATTCATTTTTCATCTATAATAAACACCTGACTCCATAACACTTTTTTGATATTATTAAAGAAAAGATTTATACTGAACTGTGTGGATAAGTATTGCCTTCACTGAGCTGTCCTGTGACAGAAGACCACTGACAAGTTCTTTGATAACAACTCTGCCTTCTACAGGGTTGTCAGCCCTGACCTGCATCAAAGTTCCACACTGCAATGCAAATTGCGGTAGCAAAAGCATGAGAAGTCTGAAGGCATTAGTAGAGGCTGAGAGAAAGTCCTGGGACATCTTCTTTTTATCTGCTTCACCTGAAGAAGCAGGAGGCTGGGAGACCTGGCATTGCCTCTCCCAAGCAGGAGCCTGAAGGACAGAGAAAGAGCCACCCTTCCCAAAGAACTCTTGCCCAGAGCATGCTGCTCAGCACAGACACAGGGGCACATCAGAGGAAAAGTGTCAGCCATGCAGCTAAATGGCAACTTCAAGTCCACATATAAGCAGGTAGAGGAAGAAACTTTCCACCAAAACCTAAGGAAGGGCTGCATGGAGCTGGAACAAAGGGCATGAGAGGGAAGGAATCCCGCAAGCAGCCACACAACACAGCTCCCAAACCATCTGCCATTCCAGAGTGAGCTGCCTCCAACAAAGCACTCAAACTGGAAACAGAGAGTAGATTCTCCAATTCAATCATACTTTAAGTGTGTTTACCTTAGGAGCCACATATATGGAAGACTAATAAAAATCATTAAAGAGATACCATCCAAAATGCAAAGGAAAAGACTGCTCATACTTTTCATTTTGAAGAGACAACCAATATCAGATTTAGGTTCCTACAGTAAGGTCACTTAAGCTCTTCAGAACAAACCCACCACAAGGAGCAAGCGATGCCATGGACCTGCTTTGCTTTAAATGGCTTTCATGGTGAGTATATGCACTATAAAGTATTTAGGAATCTGAAACAGAAGGTCTTCCAAGTCTCTTTCTCTTCTTAGAGATCAATTTTCATTATGAAATAAAACTCTGCCTTTGAGAAGGCCAGAAATGCAAGTTTTAGTTGGTTGTCTCACAATTCTTGACCACTGTAAGAGAAGCCCCTTATCATCTAAGAAGGTAAACACACATTGTTTCACATCTTCTGTAGGGTTTTCTAAAAGCAGGGAGTTTCCTATCTTGTCTCATTACCTTCCCTATGTTTTCAAAATAAAAGAGCCTGAAAGCAGCCTCTCAGTTGTTATTCATCTGCAAGAAATGTGTACATCAGCCCTGGATTTATCTACGTTCATCATCTAGGTTTTTGTTTTTTGGGGTTTTTTTTGTTTTGTTTTGTTTTTCTTTTAATATCAGTCTGTTTACAGTTATCTCTGATTAAAACTAAATAGGATTAAAACTTAATTAGGAACACTGGAAAGCCACAGGTGTGGTAAACAGAAATCCCATTAATATCACCTCAGGTGCAAGGGTTATCTGCCTTGCATTAAGAAGATAGATGATATAATTTTCTTAGTGTTACGCACCTATATGCAAAGTATAAATGAGATACACCACAAGTTCTGCAAATGTCTCTACCTTTAACTGCTGCTGAAAATATGCTCCCAATTAAGATGAAAATGTCTGAAAAAGTAACTATTATAATGACAAATATGTCTTTTCTTAATTTAGAAGGAAGTACATTGCCAAAAAGCTAAAAAAGTAGGGTTTTAAAAAGCTGAGGGGGTAGGAAAATGAGAAGAGACAGACACAATAATTAAGCCTAGGGTGGCTCCTTTGATGCCTCATTATAAGATATGCCTTTCATTAAGTGTAATGGAACTTAATGGATCATTTGCAATGGAGAAACATTAACATGGCACTCAAACAAAGTACCCCTTTATTAGCAGCATTGCACATGTACTTTCAAATGAGAAATTGCCATAAGGATAAATCCACTCTATTAAATACTGAATACAGGATGCAAATAAAGAAGGGATATGCAATATGTGAAATTTATTAGAAATTCTTAATCCAACGAAATATTAATATAATGAAAAATGTTAAGAACAATTTTGATGAACAAAATTAAATATTTAATATGAATAGAACTGTGCTGATAAAAGTCATATTAGTAACTGTGAAACAGAAAATTCATTTTGAGTATTACTGAAAACATTACATTTTGCCCCTGCCTTTACAATGCTATCATAGCCCAGACTAAATCAGTTTTCTGTTCAATAGCCTTCAAATATACTGCAAAAGTGTACTTAAATAAGAAATTAAATATTTTTCTCATCATAATAAAAAATTATCTTATCTGAAATACAAGAATTGTCCCACTGAATCAGACCAATCACCCATTTAACTAAGCATTGTGTCTCTTACAGTAGCAAGAAGGAATATTAGCTAAAATATTCAGCTAAGTCTAATCATACTCTGAAGTCAATTCCCCTTTCACTGAGCAGCATCTTCAAAGCTTCAGAATGAGGACATTTAGAAGGTACACCTTCCCCCATTCTCCTCAGTACTAATTTATGGCCTATATGGCTACGTAATTTTTCTAACCTTTTTTTTACCTGCTGGTACTGCCCATTCCCACAAAATTTTGTGCAACTGAATTCTAGGGGCTCTCTATTCACTTTATAAGGCAGTGCCTTAACTGTTTTGACCTAATCTGTTAGTTTTATTGAGTTTCCTCTAATTCTAATACTCCAGTATCTGGTAAATAGCAGGTCTTCTTTAGCCTAAACTGTGTGATGGTGTGTTTGGGTACAAAAAGCCTAAAATAATAAAACAACAGTTGATTTTTCTCAAAATCTAAGTCAAACTTGATTCACTGAAATAGTAATATTTTTGGTCTCACATAGTGTTTCTGACATACTTTATTTACTGCAGCACACTTTCTCATCTCAGCTAGTATGATTATACAGAAACAAACCTGCAATCAATATATTTTTCACTTTCTCTAAAAGATGCAGGTGCTTACATTAACATTGAACAGCATACTAAGGAAACATAGTAAAATATGCTAATTGAAATGCTCTTAAAAATATGCTTACAAAGTCAGATTGCTGATCCTTTAGAAAATAAGATGACATATACATCTAGTAAGTACAAAGCATTATCCAATTGTCAGTCAGCTTTATTACCACATACTTTAAATGACACTGCCCTGAATGAATCCCTATACAATGAGTATTATCCATTCTGCTGTGGGTGATCCACAATTAAAGCCATGTGTTGTACAGTGTGATTACAAGGGCAGAACTGAGAAGCTTAAAGAAAACACACAGGATTTTCTAACACACACACACACACACCTTGCTTGCAGGAATATAAAGACAACAGGTGGAAAATGGGGACTTTGGAGTACCAGATAGTGTTGAATTCATGGCTATAGAAGTTGTAGGATGTTTAAGAAGCCACCTACCAGTGTGATGTCTCGGGAAGCAGCAGCTGCACTCATGTGTAAACTGGGTTGCCTGACGGAACTACTGCAGTCCAAGGCTCGAGCAAAGGTGCCAACCGCACTGCAACAGAGGAGCAGGAGCAGCAGTAAACACACAGAAAGATGTAATCCCAAGTATCAGACTGTGCCATTTCTATACAAGTGTCCTTTTACACATGGAAGTCACATACTGATACTGTTTTTAGATCTTTGCTAACAAAGAACAACTTGATAACGGCAAATCACGAAACACTGCAGCAAAAACTCACACCTTCTGCCCCCAAAAGTACCGATGTACATGTAAGAACAGCAGCTCAGAAACAAAAGATACTCAGAGAATTCTCAGGTACCAACTGCTTAATGTACAGAATTTTCTATTAATTATGAAGTCAAAGGTTGTCCACAGTTTGAGGTTTACAATCAGGAATATTATTTCTAAAATTCCAGGGCTATAATAGTGCTTAAAAATTACAATTCAAATTAAAAGGGGGGTTCACCATGTCCCCATGAGGAAATTAAAAACATTTTATTCCCTTCAGTAGTACATCTTCTACTCCCATCTTCTATCTTTCATGGCAGTGAGCGAAAAAAAGCATGTTAGCTTTGTCTAAGGTACCCCCAAAATTCCTGCTGTTGCCACAGGTTTCAAGCAATAACGAAATAAATGGATCTCTCAACCTACTTAATTAAAGCATTCCATTATTGAAATGGAAATATTTTTTCCAAAACTCTACTTTCTTTTCTACTTTTGTTGATGAATTGCACATGGCATCTATTAGACTGTTCCAAACTGTAAACATTTCTTGGAGAGGGGTAAATATTTCTTGCAAGTCCATCTATGTATCATGCAAAGTGAAGGAAAAGGTGCATAGAGAATTTGACTGGGTCCAGGTTATCATACAAGAAATGAACAAAGATGCAGCGATACAAAATATTATCAATAAACAGATCAGAAGTTTCTCCAGTACCTGGATTTGTATAATGACTCTTGAGGTGCATTCAGAAAAAACCTATTTATTGCAGTTATGACATAACCCCCTTTAAATGCAAAGACCCAGTTACAGATGTAATGCAGTGCAATCATCTGGCATAGGAACTCAAGCTTTACTCAGCAATTACACCCCACACAACTTGCAAGTGCAGAATTATACCAATGGTGAATGTCACTGACAAATAAACACACTTTGCTGTATCCTATAAATCTGATATTCAACAGTAAAACAATGTGCACCAAGACTTTAACTCACTGAAGTTAAAAATGATCATGGAGAAACAGATAATAAAGTAGGTTATCACAATTTTATCTTGAATCTCAAAAAATTTATTACTGAATGCATGTTTCAGTACTTGCTGCCACAGTCTTACAAGTTAAGATTTAACAGCAGTGATTCAGACCCCCTGATATTAACTGCTTTTCTAAAGGCAGTGGAATAAATAAGTGATATTCAAATGTTTTTCCACAACCTTTGCTCCCTCTTTGTGGAGATGGCAAATATGAGACGAGAAAACACACACACATTCTATTTTCTTTTTTTTTTCCTCAAAGATTGGCAGTACATAAAACAGTATTTGTGCACAAATCCCTCTCAAGAATAAGGCTCTATTATGAACACATTTCCTGATAGTCTGTCAACCCTTTCAGAATGCTGGCATTGATAAGGTCTGTAGCTAAGCAGTCTTTCCTGTGATCCTTCTGTCCCTACTGCTCAAACCAGTGAATGTGGCATGACTGCATTTCCCTTCTGCTGCTACCTGCTAGCTTATCTTCCTTTTGCATAATAAAAACTATTTTCTTTTGACCATATTTCTAAAATAAAGTCTGAGTATGCTATGAACACTACAAAGAATCTTCTCACAGTAGTTCTCTGGCAGATCAAACTTTTGAGTCTGACTTCAGAGCCCAAGAGTATTTTGTTGCTCAGAATGTAAAGTCAAAATTAAGAGATAATATAAATAATAATATAAAAATACAATAATACTAATAATTGTACTACTAATAATTATAATTATTTTGACTAAGTGATAGAGAAGTAAGAACTGATGCGCCAGTGGACATTGCTTCCAATGCTGCACTAAGTAGGAGAAGATTGCAACTGTGAGAAGAATGCTGTGTGGGATGTTGGAGTATGTGAGTTCAAAACAACTTAATAGTAAATAAAACACACAAAGACAAAATAAAATAATGAAAACAACAGAATAAAAGATAATAAACGCAGCATCAAACATAAGGGAACAAATATTATAATAGCAATATGACAAAAGCAAGCAAATAATACATAAAATGCAAGCAGTGTACCATTTGGGGTGTCAATAGTGACAGGACAGAGGATGTGAATGGTACAGGACACAAACTGGGGGGGTCTGGAGGTGTGTGCATGTCTGTATCAAACTAACTTCTAGTTCTCCTTTCCATAGAAACTTGTGAAAAATGATGAATTCCCATCTAAGTGTAGAAATTCTGGAGCAACTGGCTGCATATATATTCTTAAATAGTAACTAGGTTCAAAATTAAATAGTGTTTTATACAATCTAGCTATGCAATTCACATCCAAATTCAATATTAATTTTAGAACTAAAATACCTTATTGTTTATGTTTTTCAATTAAAAATACAGATATGAAGTATATATTGATGCAAAGGTCAAAATGTACATTGGTCACTTTTCCTTGCATGCTTTTTTCTAATTCCACTATTCAATTGTTTTAGAAAAGGAACAAAATAAATAACTAAACAGTGTCATTTCCAGAAGACACAGTATTGTCTTCATCTACCTAAAATAAAACTCAGTATTAAGCCAACACAAGCTAAATAGAGAATGTACATGGGACATGTACATTGCCATTCACACCCTAACCACTCCCTTTTCTTAACAAACTTCCAATATTAATGTCTTGTTAAGCTTGTACAATTCAAAGAATAATTGTAAGTAGCTAATTGAAATTATATTTAATTCAATAATAACAATAATAAACTGACAACACAAAAAACTGTGCTCAGCAAGCTACTTATGAATTACTCAATGTGTAATTAAAATTCTTGAACTTCAAACAGAACCCAACACTCCCCACATTTTCCAAAATAAGCTAAAGCCAGAAGCCACACAGACAGTGAATTACACAGGTGGCAGAGAGATGGACAAGACAAACAATTGGTATTATCAGCAGGGAGATCACTCCCTGCACAGCCTGCATCAGCAAGCAGCTCTAAGAGCTTTAAGGGTTACACCAAATGATCCAGTGTTACTTTAATTTGGTTTTCCTTGGTTTAATTATCTTAAAGAGCAGAACCAAGAAGATTTATAATAGATTGCAGATGACAACCATACAAACAAAACAAATGGTTATAGTTCAGTTCCAGGATCTAAGATTATGGAATAAATCCACAAATTCAGCAAAACTTGAGAGATTGCTGCAGTTGCCGTGCCTGTGTGCCCTGCATTTAGGCAAAATTTCAGATTAGATTTTGAACACAGAAAATACATTGCTCCAAATTACTTATAGCTCAAGTCTAAGACTTTAAAGGAAATAACTGTTCGAATTTTTGTGTAAGATTAAATAGTAGTAATCAAAGAAATTAAGAAGCAGCAAACATAAGAGACTGTCCTAACAAGTTTCCAAAGATTTGGTGGCTCATCAGTAACTAGCTCTGAAAAGAGCTATTATTTACCAAAGAAAATCTGGAACCACTGCAATTCTACATCAGGATAAAAAAACCTCTGCTTCTCCCAATAGCAACAGCAGTCCAGCATCAAATCAGATCCAGAAAGTTCTGGGTGCAGGCAAGGAACTCTCAATTTCCTTCTGCCTTGTACTCTTGAAAATCCAACCACGACATACATCCTTCTCAATCTGAGGATGCTTATTTCAAAACTGTTCACTTTTTTTAACACTGTTGTCTGTTTCACAAGCAGTGAGTATACTCTGGACAAAGCTGTTGCAAGTGAGCCACATCTGTGCATACATGAATTTGCAAATCCACAATTCTTCACAGATACTTGCAAACTAATGAATGAGACCTCTCCTCACCTCTGAGCTAATATTTTTGAGGAAAACAATTAAGTGATCTTTGGTGGTTTTCTACATATTAAGAAAGAAAACCTTTTGTATTCCTTGTCTTTACTCCAATGTTCCTCTTCAAACTAAATTGGAAACAGTCCTAAAAAAATGACATCTCAGACTGGTCTGGACTTAAAAACCAGCCAATTAATATCTGAGTGCTCTTTAAGGGAATATCGTGATACTTAAAATATTGGAAAGAAGAAAAAAAAAAAAACATCTTCAGTGAAGACACATGCAAGCAACAAAACAGTAATTTAAAACTGAAAACACACAGGAGATTTTTACTACTCAGTTCTGCAAAGTCTGACCTGCAGAATATATTCAAAGTAAAATGATGCTATTAAAAAAGATGTTTTCTTTGCATTTCTAAGCAACTGCCCATAGAGTGCTGTGCTTCATTATTATCACTTCAGGTATTTACAGCACAAAAGGAGATGGCATGATAAACATGAAAACTCACCTGCCACTATTCTTTTGCTGAGACACTCTCAAAGTTAGAGTAAGCGTGGCATGATATATAGATGTATGATATAACCATACATTTCATTGCTATATGAATAGAAATGAAACATATGTGAAATCTTTCTTATTCAACAGAAATAGAAGCCAATAGATAAAAGTAGTTTAATTCACAGGATGTTATTTAAGGCATCATCTCTATGCCATCCTGCAATTCCACAGTCACACATGAGGAGATGGACAGCCCCCTAAAAGCAGGTCTATGAAAAGTCTGCTATGGAAATTTACTCTTTATACTGAAATAGATCAAAGGTCATAAAAAAAAAAAAAAACCAAAAATAAATTCAGCTCCAAGTCAGAATTAGTTCTTTTCAAATGAATTTGGGTCAAGAAACACAGTAATACAAAACACACAAAGGAATAAACATATACTAGCCCGGCATGATAGACAGGCAGAAACATTGAATTTTTGATACACCTGGTAGACTTGATGTGAACATATTTTTCCTTTTTACTGCCAAACCATCTGCCTACCATTAGATGCTGTAATTCACCTTGCTAGCAAACATCCAGTTTTGTGAGCACAGCATTGGCATCAAGATTTTTCACCATTTTCGCTGCATAATTTTATGTTGCAATTCTGCCATAAAATTTAATTACCTCTTTAATGAACTTCAATTCCTTTTACTTCTCAGCACCTCCAGAGAATCCAGAAGCATTGTAAAACTGAAGACTGCAAACCAGTATCTTTTATGTATTTATTTTCATTTATGGGCTTTGGGAATCTGGTCTACTGCCACTGACTACAATGAATTATTTCACAAGAACAGAGCACTATTTTTTGATCACACCGGTAAATGTTTTTACACATGGTTCTCAGTTAATGAATGCATTATTTTCCTCTGTATAATGAAAGACACCTTGCCAGTTGAAGCTGCATTGTGTTCCCTTCCCCACTGTAAGATAAATATAACAATTATAGAGCATCTCCAAATACTCCAAAATACTGTGAGCACTTATAACATAGTAGCCAACAGAAAATAATTATAATCAACATCCTAGAGCAAATGGAAAAGTGGGAACAAACACAGGAAGGATAAAGCTTTAATTTAACATGACTAACAACTAATTTTCCATTCTTATATGGTTTTACATCAAAAAATAAGCAGGCATTCAAATGAAGAGAAATATGTCAGATAGAGATATGTAATGCCATTTTAATGGCATAGAAATCAAAGTACAAAATTTTAAGGTAGAGATGCAAGGCTATTTGAATTAGATTTCAAAAACGCTGGTTTAGTTGGGAATAAGCTGAGACCACAAATGTCTGTTAAATAGCTTCATTTAGAAATATATTCCTTCCAGAAGACTATGCTAGTAATGTAGTTAGATGAAGCAGAATAAAAGAACTACATTCTTAATGGTTTCACTGAATCATAAAGCACATAAATGGAACCAGAATGTACCACAAATGTATCATGCAATAAACTGTAGACCAAATTAGCAGATAGCAAGAAGATTTTTTAAAATAAAAAAAAAATTCTTGAGCTCTCAGCATCTGTCTAGACCAGAGCCCACACCTCCTATTGCATTTGAGACTGGGCAAGATATTTTTTTACTTTAAAAAACCAAAAGAAGACAGGACTCTTATGTTATAAAGGAAATAGAAGCATTCTATTGTCTAACACTGTGTCTTATGTTATATAGACAATAGGAATGCTTCTATTTCCTAACACTGCAGCTTGGGACAGAAAAATTAGAAAAAGAACATAAGATCTGGTAATGAAACGAAGTATGCCCTGTATATTAGAAATTATAAGAGATTGATGACTGGAGGAAACAGAGTGTATCTAAATCAGCACAAATTAGGAACACTGTACCCAGCGTTTTTATCTACCTCATTTTAGCCAACAACAAAAAAAGTATCTCAATGCATCCCAACTGGGTTCCTGTTAGAAGCAGTTCCACACACTCACAGATATTTAGTCCACAGGACTTGATTAGAGTCATGACTAAAACAAAAAATCTGCTCAAAACGTGCAGTGGGGACACTAGGCCCTCAGCACCAAACGTTTCAATTCTACAAATCCATTTTTACTATACTGAACTATTTGCTAATGTGGGCATACTGAAATGGCTGTTTTAGCTTCTCAAACTCCTGTCCTTTGAAGCTGGCAGACACAGAACATGGCCAGTGTATAGGACAGAAGCAAACTGGTTGGTGCAGCTGTATCTTATTTGAATGCAGTACAAAATGCTATTGGACTTTTCATTGTCACAGCACCAATATTACCCAAAAGACAACTCAAATCCAGAATACATTAGTCTGAGGCCTCAGGCTTCTCCTAACAGATGCTTTTGCCAGTTCAAGCAAGAGTCTTTACCCAAATTATGCTTCAGCAGCAGCAATAAGGTACTTTCAAAATTTGTGTGCCAGGCAAAACTACTCAGGGAGGCTAAGTTTATGGATATTTCCACTTTTTTCCAAATCTCCACCATTTTTTGGGCACTGTTACCTCTAATTTCTGTACAGGATAGGCATATTCTTCCTTTGTACCCAAAGGAAGTTGTTTCACTGCTAATAATAATACAGTCATATAATCATTAGCAGTGAAATACATTCAATACAATTATTGAATAGTAGGGCTTAGTGAGAAGCCCAGACTGACCAGGCATATAAACCTAGAGAAAAAGGCCTCTCATTCCTGAGGCACTAAACAAACCCTGTAAGACCAGGAAAGCTACATGTCCAAGGTAAAAATAGAAATATACTTGTAAATTGGCAACACAAATAAAAAGAGTATTTAAACACCTTCTGAAAAAATACCAAAGCTGCCTGTGAGATTGAAAAAGCAACTCTTCTTTCAACCAGATCAGACTGGGAAAAAAAATATGAAGAAATACTCAATTCCTTTGAATCAGCATCTAAAAAGTATCACTTGAAAATGCTTTTAAAATGTCAAGCACAATAGCATTCACATACTTAACAAATACCACACTTGGGAAGGTACTTAAGAAAAAATTATTCTTGTCATATTGTCAAATTTGCAGAACTAAACATAACCAGAGAGAGATTGTTCCACCTGGAAATCCAGCAGGCACGGCCAATGCCCAGTGAACCACAGTTAGGCTGCGGCAGAGTTGCCTGTAAGCACTGTTCACATCATAATACCAGCTCTCCACTGTTTCTCAAGCAGCTTTTAATGGTCCAGTATAAATCCTGTACCCACACAACAACCTAAATTGAAAGCTGCCACCAAATCATCACAGAACTATTTCTCCAGAAATTCATAAAAATCTGTCTCAGAACCCACTTAGAGCATCCTGTGAAAACAAATATATAGGAGCTTGGAAACCATTTCTGTCAATTGAAAAGCAACTTCTAAAGATAAATGGAGCTCTGTGCAAGACCATCCACAAAGCTGCACCTGAGTAATACCTGATGACAGATCAGGTACTACTCTTGTGGTATCCAAGTACCCCAAGACCTTGGATAGTAATAATTAATCAGCCATGATCCACTATAACAGAAACCATCTTTACAGAAATGTATTGACTTTAAAATGAATGCAGTCTTGGTCAGGGCACAACATTGCAAAGGGTTTCTTAAACAACAGGAGGAGAGAAGGATATTCTTCTTTATTTATTTAATTATTCTCTGTTACTTCCCAGCAGGCTGCTTACTGCTACATTCCTCTGGGAACATTTTTGGCTCCACAGCATACTGCTTCTGCTCCCCAGAGTGGCTGAGAAACAGCAAATAGTGGAATTTTAAAGCAATGAATGAACTCTTCCAAAATTCCCAGTCTTCATACAGATGTTTCTTTAGGGCACACCATAATAAACTGGCCATACATCTCCAGGTATTATACTGCTGGTGAAAAAGTAGTTTGGATTCTTGGTTACTATGGAACATCTACCAGACCCTGTAACTTTTTCAACACCTGTTAACACTAAACTCCTCTGTCTTGCTTGAAAATTCAACAAGGGCAGGTAAAAAAAAAAGTTTTAGTACTTTATAGAAAGGATACAACATTCCAAGTGGAAGAGTAAGGAAAAAAATCAAGTGAATCAGCACATGAACTGTAAATGATTAAATCAGCATCCCATATCACTATACATATAGGCTGGAAAATATAGAACAACTTTTTTTCTGTTTTTCTTCCTGAATTTTTTTTTCAAAAGGGAGAGAGAAAAAAATCCCAAAAACTAGAACCCATGTAAAAGGATTAGTTGCCTAAAAAGATTTGAGATTACACTCAGCAACCAGGTCACATAAGATACAGGAGATGGATTTTTTCAGGATAAAATCCATATGTGAACTGTGTTCTCTGCTATCATTTGAACAGGACCTTTGTAACTATGAATCAGAGGAAAGGCAAAACCTGCTATATCCTATGAATGTAGAATTTCCCTTCAGTAAGAAACCTAAAAATTTTGGAAGATTTTTTTTTTAGATAGATTTTTAGATAATTTTTAAAGGTACTTATTAATTCAAAGCACTTTCATGTTGTCTTCATAAATCTGCATAATCATGTTAATTTATAAAATTGAGCTCACTTGATTTTTTTCACTAATGAAATACATGACTTCAAAACTTTATTTCAATATTCATCCAAAATAATTATTCAGCTTACATGAATATGTGGCAAGTTCTGCACCCATTTAATTTGTTAACATTTTCTTTATTTCTACTCTTTATACCATGAAATTCCAAGTACTCTAAAACACGAAGACTCTATTATTAGTAGTAGTGAAACAATTTATTCTGAGGGGAAAGCAAACTGATATCTACATTCAAAGTATCAAATTCTACTATAACCTGAAATACAGGGAGTGTATCATTATTCCGAAACTCACACTCTTTTTCTGCCTCCTGTATTGGTAGCTTCAACAAATTACAAAGGGTCATGGTCTGATTTTCTCTTTTAGCTAACTGTGGGAAAGAGAAGGGCTCACAAAATGGCAAACAGGATGAGTAACACAATATAGGGGAATGAATAGTCAGTAGAAAAAGGAAAAGGATTTTTGATGAGAGGATTTTAATCTTACCGTGCTACAACTAAAAACTGGTCAATCTGACGGTCAGTAAGGGGGCTATCTGGATCCCATACTTTTACTTCCAGCTTTGCCTGTTCTCTGTCATCTAATTCTCCTGTCAAAAGGTAGATGGGACAAAACACTTATTATTCACAATGTTTTTCTTTGTGTAGTTCTTGCACCATGTTTAAAAGAGACATTGTACATTTTTAAACATATACACATATGCACGCATGATTAAAAATTATCAGCAGTTATCCAGTTAAATTCCATAATGCAGCATCACCAAAATAAATACCTTCCCTTAACATCAGCATTTCAATTTAGGGAGACATCTTAAGAGGTGAAATACCAATGAACCTTAATAAAATGTTATTACAAAGTTGAAACCATACCCTAGTAACCAACCAGTGGCTTCTTTAAATTGCTTGTCTAGTATATCAAAGTTACTGTTGCACTTAAGCCATACTAAATTTAATTTTACACTTAATCAACTTTAGCAATTAAATTCTATCCAATTTGTATTCTATGCCCTGAAAAAATAAATCATTATGCAAAAATGCTGTCTACTGTATTTAAGCATTTTTAACCTCTTCAGCCACTACATTATCTGTATTGCTAAAAACAAGAAAGTTACTATATACTGCATCATCATTTCCCAACTTCATTTATGTGAACAAAACAATTTGTGTACATGCACATGGCTGAAACAGTGGGGGTGGTTTCCAAAATTTATTTTGCCCTATATACATTGTTACGAGAATATGATTTGTACTGCATGGAAGAACAGTCAAGTGTGAATTTGGTACAAGGATTCACATTCATAAGACTTGATCTTGTCTTGCCTACTACACCAATAACTTCTCCTGCAAAATAAGAAACATTTCAGAGGCTGATGGAGGAAGCACCACCTGCGCTACCAGTAGAAGAAGATTTTCTCGTGGGATGTAGCCAACACATTTGTGGCCACCAGAGATGACAACAGTCAAGTCAGAACCACTGTCTTTCCCTGCTGTTTTAGAATAGGAGGGTGTTCTTCCCTCAGCCAACATGCAAAAAGCACTAATGTTGAGCTGGTTGCCAGTACTTCTCTGTGACTTTTACAATCTACTGCAAGAATGAAAACTTGTTGTCAGATCCAGCCATTCCACTCCCTTTGAAAATCTAGGCTGTGTAGATCCCTCTCTGATCCCATAGAAGATTACTTTAGTCTGTGCTGTTTCTTATGACTTATGACAGTCTTCTTATGACAGTCACATTCTCAGAAAAACAGCCAGTCTAAACATGCACAGTATCATCAAGACATGAAACAACCTGTACACTTAAGAGACTGGAAGCAGACTGCAAACCAAGTACTGGCTCTTCTCAAATCACATAATATATGATGACTTCTAGCACATTGATTCTGCAAAGAAATTAAAATGTGGTATATATTTATCCCTAGCAAACACACAAGTTAGAACTGCACCATGCTGTCTGGCTAATGTTTCAGGAACAAATTTCACAGTCACATTCTCAGAAAAACACAGTAAATTACTTTCTTCCAATACACAGGCAATAAAGCACTGGCTGCCTAATGGGACTTCAGCTTCTGTTCAAGCTAATTCACATCCAATACTGAAGACAAACTGTTAATTTCTGGCATCTAGGAAAGGATTTTAGATCTATAAACTTATTCTATCGATTGCACACCTGTCAATACATTCATTTCTTCCATCTGTGACAGACACATTGTGGGTGATGTTCTAAATATTCTCTAAGCACTTCATTTCAATCTGTTAATATTTAGTTTTTAAATACCTTTAATGTTAGTTAACCATTTCAGGACATCATAGTCCAGAGATCAATCATTATGCAGGTAGATTATACTTCTCACCAAGAAAAAACATCATACAAACTCAGCACCAGTATTCATATAAAACCTGTCTTCTGAATCAAGTTTGCAAAAAGAATAAAAAAATTGCAATACTACAGTTCTTACTTCAATTAAAGGAAATTAAACAATTGCTACTATAAAGTGTTATAACTCTTGATAAAGGTTAATCTCAAATATTGCCAAGGAGCATTTTGTAATGGCAGTAGGCATAAATAGGATACAAACGATGGAATATCTATATCAAAATAATCTAAACACACATAATAATTGCAATATTAAATATCACTGCAACAATGGTAGACAGAGGTTTCCAGAAAATAGGTGGAGTCTGCCAAGCTGCACTTTAAACAGCTACATAATTCCCGATTTTCCACTTACGTGGCAGGATATAATCACTTAAACAGGGAAAGTAACTTAAACAGACCAAACCATGGAGGCAGTCAAGCAGTGCTATAAAAACCTTAGAAAAGTTAATTTCAGGAATAAGTATTTTGTTGACTTCCTTTGCCTGTGCTGAAAGCATCAGTACAGGAGGATAACATAAGACAAACAGGTCTTCGAAAACAATGATTATCAACCCTCTGTGTTTAATTGAGCTGTCAATTCTTCGCTGATCATGCCAGTACCACATCTCATAGGATTTTTAACTTGGCAAACCACTTTAAGATGCAATTTCTCTGTTAGCACATCAACATTTATCTTATACATTGTTGAATTTGACACCAAAGTATAAGACATTCAAACTGAACAGATGATAAAGTTGTCATAGCATTAACTGGTTATATTGCAAAATGCAGCTCACAAAGGAATGGGGGAGTTTTACTTTCACCATTTTCACGGCATCTGAGAAGTTCAGTTTAAAGGTGTCACCTTCCCTTACCACCAGCAGCATATCAATTACAGCTTCTGAGAAGTACTGAGAAAGCAATTTTTTTTAATAACTGATATAACATACCAGTACATCTAATTTATTCTAGTCACTGCTTCTAACTTTATTACAGCCTGTCTAATCCTGATGACTAATTTTATTGGAAAACATTAGTAGATGGTCAGAAATACATCTGGTTTACTCTTCATCAATCATTCAATTCCTTATTTCTCAAGAGTGTCTTCCAGTAAAAAGTAAGATTTTTCTTCAAAAAATAGTTTAAAAGTTTTGTATTTCAATTAGTCATTTCAGACAAATGAAAGCATGATATGCCCCTCTAAAAAAAAAGGAAGAAAAAATTTACAAAACAGAAGTAAACCAAATGCAATTAAAATGAGGTACAAGAAATTAAATATCTACCTAGTCTTTTAGATTTCACTTCCTGCAGATAAATACACCAAAGATAACTAGTACACCAGATTCAGCATGATTCTATATTCTTCTTGTATCCAACTAAAAGAACATAACTTTCAATATAAACAGCTCCTTAGAGTGAAATTCTTTGAATTTAAACATAATACTGCAATATAATATATTATTAAGAAACTGAAATATGATTCTATAAGTTAGGTTTTATTTTTAAAATGGTTGCCAATGAAACAATACAAATTTAATTTTCAATGAAAAACAGTTGATGAGGTATCTGGTTTTAAAGACACCTCTGATGTATAAAGTTTTATTTTTGCATTTAGAATGATTTGCACTATTTTTCAAAAAACCTTTTTATTCTCCTTCTCAGAAAGTAATTTAGCTGTGAATTCAATTCAAACATGCATACTAAACACCTGCAGTGCTCAGCTTGCTGAATGAATCCAGATTATGTAAAACAGATTATGTAAAACAGAGGTGCCAGTTGCTGGATCCTTAATTCCACAGGACAGAAAATCTGTAGCTGTGGGGTTTAGGTCATAGTAAGGCAGTAGATCTCTCCATTGACAGAACTGGACACCAAGAGTTCCAACCACAGAGTTCCTCCCAGTAAGCAAATTCATTTATTCATCCAACCTCCTGAAATCAGCCAGTTTTGGTGTGTGCGTCAATTCCTCAAACTCACCAGACACCTAAGCAGATAAATGTGGAGGCATTTGTAAAGGCTCGTTTTCTTAATGCTCAGCACATACATAAGAATTCAAACCAGTGTCTTCACCTCTGTGGGTTAGTTTTGTACTTGTGGAACAGGAATATCTCTCAGTTAACATTGCAAGGATGAGGAAGAGAGGCACTTGTTAGTTCTTATCCTCCCCTAGATGAGTTTAGCATCCAACACAATGAAATTTCTTTCACTGAAATATGGATTTAGCAGATCAAGCATTTAGCAGGTTGTTGCCAGAACTCTTTGGGAGTATACTACCTGCAGGTAATCCTAAATGGTTTTTTGAACATAGTTTCATGTGTTGTTTGTGTACCATTGTTTTAAAAATAGGCAACAAATCAGTGAAAATGAAGTTTCAGTTCATGAATCGCATTCTCATGCTGCTATTTAGACAGTCTGCAAACACTTTCTCTAACTTGCAGAGGAGAAAAATAGAATCACATTGAATTTTCTTGTACTGTATATGAACAAAGTTCCAGACATTAAACCTGTCAGTCTAATGCAAAATCTGAGCTTTCTCCTTGGATGAAAAGTACATTAGTTCCTCACTACAACAGTCAGCATATTCACATTAGTTCCTCACTAAAACAGTCAGCATATTCATCCTGCATAAAATTCTTATTACTCATTTTTATTTAATTTTTTATCATTTGAAATTCTCACCAGTACAGATAAAAAAATTCAGAAGAAAAGTTCCAAAATTTACACTTAACTCTTCAAAAAATATAACTGAGTTATGTGCAAATAACTTCTCTGATCAAAATAACATGACAAAGCTTAGATGAAAAGTGTAGGCAAAAGAAAAATTGTTTACCTTTCAATTTCAAACCGATCTCCCCTCTGCCTTAGCTTGCCTGACAGAGGTATATTCAGATTTCCATTATTCAGGTAAAGAATTATATGTTTATGCAAATCTCATGGTAAAAATTCATGAATGTAAGACATATAAGGACTAGAGAATAAAATCAGGCTATGTAGAGAGACTATAAATGAAAAATATCATGTGATAAAGGCATGTTGCTTGTCTATAAGCATTTAAACTGCTATTGGGCATTTTTAAAGCCAATAAAACATGCAAAGTCCAGTCACCACTTATCCTCTAGAGCTTGAATGTATAAAAACATTTAATCATTCTGCACTTGAAAAGTCCCTTTTGAAATAGAACTGCCTCCTCTGACCTTAAAGCTCTCTCAATGTTGAGCCTTGCAGTACTTATAA